GCGAACGAAGCTAGCTCACAAAATGAGACAAACCGTGAGGAGACGCATGAGTTTATAGTTTACAAAGTTAAAATGCAAAGAAATGAACAGTGATTTTATGCCCTGCTACATTTGTTATTCGTAATTTCATATACACATAACCACAATTTATATCATTATAAAGATAAGTGTGTTCATATAAACCCTATAAATGAGGACATCTCCCTTAATCACCGTATAAAGCAGACTCTGTGCAGCGGGTCTCCTGACCTGTCTATTTTAACCGTTAGCACTGCTGGTAATCTGGAGGATTTAGGCAAACACAGCAGCACAGTGATGTGTCTGAATGTGAACGAACTCCTGATAAAAGACAGCGTCCGCCATTCTCTAATTCTCGTGCTGCTCTCCCGACAAAAATGCTAGCAGCACACACAGCTTTGCTGCATGATCGGCCCTGACAAGATCGCGGGGGAAAACATACAACAAACAACGTGGATCATGGAAACAAACGCATATGAGCCTTCATAAACGGCTAAATACTGCCGTTGGTCCGTCCGTGTCTCACTGCTCGGGCTTGACACTGGAAGGTCTGGCAGGTCTCATGAATAATTAAGCAGCCGGCTCTTCTCATTGGATAAAAAAACTCCGCTATGAATAATAATGAGAAACCGACGCGTCATCATTGCACTTGCAGTACTGCGCTACGTCGCCGATTTTGACCCCTCCCTAAAAATCATTTTAAACCCGGAAGCTGAAATAAGCTGACAAAAGCTCAAAATTATCCAGTTTTCCCCACAATTAAAGCTGACAGGTGCAAACATTGTCTTAACTGATGCTCAACACACAAATCTGTTAATACAAAAAAAAAAAAAAAGTTCTCCAGGGTGTCCTGAACCTTTAAAAACGTGCTCAACACCGCTCAAATGTTAGCGGGAAATGAACGTTTCAGTACTGATTGGGATCCAGTATCGTGATAACACTACATTTGAATAGCTCTAATTGGAAATGGATTTCATTAATTTAGATCAACTGAGATGATCAAGTCCTTTTCTATGCAGTGGATCTGCATAAATTATAATAAATTACAAGAAAAAAAAAACAAATACATATCCAATGCTTTGTGGTTGTCTGACAGTATTCATGTACAGAAATTGACCGATCAAATCTAAAATGACATGGTCATCATTGTATAAATAATATATGCATCATTTAATCTTCAATAAATAATCCAGTCCAGAGATGCCGATGCACATCGACACTCAAACGATATATTGTTCAGCCCTAACCTAAATGCATTACTAAAGACCGACTCTAACCTCGAAGCCTGTGCTCTGTTTCCAGCTCCACCTCCTCTTCCTACAACCGTAGGTCTTAAGAAAGCCATCATCATCACCCAAGAGATAGTGGACGGAGAGGTGGTCTCTCAGAGCGAACTGGAGCAGAATCCCGCAAACCACATCGAGCAGGACGTCTTTGAGGATGAAGAGGAGTTAACAGAACAACTGGAGTTAGCGGAGGAAGACGAGGAGTTAGCCAAACATCAGGAAGCAGAGGAACCAGAGGTGATGCTGGAGGTGGAGGAGACAGTAATAGTGGAGGTAGTGGAGAAAGAGAAAGCACCTGTTGAAGATGATGAAGAAAAAGCAGAAGAGGTTTCACACGATGCTGTTGTGGAGCAGAAGGATGAGTAGCTTTTGACTGCTACGTCGTAAATCTTGCTGCCTCGGTTGTTCTTCATCTCTGTCTTCTGTCCCTTAATACTGTTCAGGGTTTCGTTATGAAGAGCAAATCTCCAGTTCCACATTAAAAGAATTACAAGCCTCAGTTTCTGGTCAGCTTTGTTTTTTTATGATGTCTAGCTACCATTTTACAGTCTATGCTAGCTACTAATAGGCATGGGATGATAACCGGTTTCAAAGTTTACCACGGTTTGGAAAAGTCAAGGTTTTAATTCCACTAAAATGTTCTGTGATATAAATGCTCTTTAACCCTTCTAAGTTTGCCCATAGATAGAACCCATTTCAACCCATCATCTCCTCACACATTATTATTTTATTTCTTACTACTTTTTATTAGTATTTTAGTACTAATAGTACTTTTTCACATTATTATTTTTTTGTTATTTATTTATCATTTTGTTTTGGGTGTTTTGCAATTATTATTATTATTATTATTATTAATTTACGTTATTTACTTATTATTATTATAAAAAAAATTTTTTCATTTTTACTATGTATGTCTAGTCTTGATCTTGTTATAAACGTTTTAATGAAGATGTGGAATCTTGAACCAATATTTATAAAACTGTAATACATTTTTAAAAAATACAAAATAAAACAATTAAAAAATAATAATAAAAAAAAACTAAACACAAAATTAAATACAAAACATACTAAATAAAATAAAATAACATGATTAAACAATTAAATAAAATAATAAACATTTTTTACTAAATAAAAAATAAAATAGTAAAAATATTAAATAAAATAACATGATTAAACAAATAAATAAAATAATTAAATAAACAAAAAATAAACAATTTTAATAAACATTATTAAAACAAATAAAAATAAAATTATTAAATTAAAGAATAATAAAAAATATATATTTATACAATAAAACAAAATCATTTTAAAAAAAATAAAGCTTGTTTTTCCTTTATTAATTTATCCTCACCCAACCGACAGATATTTGTTGTCTTTTTAAATATGGAAAATCTTTATTGTTTCTCAAATAAGTTCATGTTATTTATTTTAAGAAGGTTTAGTTTGTGCTAATAATAGACAACAACAGCCAATACATTTAGCTTTATACAGAACATCAATTTAAATAACATGATAGTAGAGTTTTCCAACATGATAATAGAATTTTTCAATAGAAAATAAACACAGTGCCAAGGTATATGTAAGGATTTTTAATGTATTTCTTATTTGTTGAAAAAAAAAACTAACTAGAACTAACTTTTCTAAAACTTTAGAAACTAACTAGAGCAGAAATCAGCGATTTACTTTAAGTATTTAGCCTGACGAATAAATATTTAAAGCACCATGGTAAAATATACAGGGGCTGTGTATTGTTCACAAAGAAACCAATGTGCCAGTAAAAAACGACATTACCTCAACAGATATTGTAACGTGTAACTAGGATAACATTAATGCTGTGCTTTTAGCGAGTTGATATTATCGAGTATGTTAACTTCATTGTAAAAAAATGCTTTTGAGTTTTTGTCTAGTTTCTAGTCTTGGTAACAATTTCCAGACATGAAAAAATTGTTTTGTTTTCAGAAATAATGTTAAAATTTAGTAAGTTTTTCCGTGAAACAAGCTAAATTATCTGCCAGTGAGTTAAGTAACATGTCAAACTGAAAACAATATTATTTTATTTTTCCTTGCTGGAAAACCTCAAATTTAACCAATAATTTCTTAGAATAAAACATGTTTTACTTGTCTACAAAACGCTTCTTAATTTAAGAGATTTTAAGTACACACGACAAAAGACTTTTACAGTGTTGTCCTCAGCTAAAGACTTTTACAGTGTTGTCCCTATGTGTTGTCCTCAGCTTGCATCATCAAGGCTGCATCCAGATACTACTAAACTAAACACTAATGCGTATTAAAGGCTCAAAAGTATTGACTGAGTGATGAAGAATAAAACAATAAAACGTTAAAACAACATAATTTGAGCTAAGTTAATCTCATTAACGTTGTTTTCTTTAACTACTTTCAGTGCGATCGTGAAACTGCGAATTTATATACAATTTTAAACCAACAATATGCTAATATAAAGATTACAATTCAGACTCTGTTTAGTCTGCTTTGTCAACGTAAACATTTCTAAACAAGCTGGAGATTAACATTTGTGCATCTTGAAACAAACCTGAGGCGTGAACGTAGCTTCCATCTTGATTGAATCAGTTTATGAAAGAATCGAACGATTCAGTGATTCACTAGTACTTTTCCAAATGGTGTTTTAAACGAATCATTTGAATGAACTGCCGTTTTTGCTATGTAATCATATTTATTTTTCAAGCCAGGACAAATTACCAGCCCAAAACACACTCAATAAAACGATTTAATATAATAAAAGAATGTTTAAAAATACTAGAAATCTGTCTAAAATACTGTTTTGAGCTTAATATTTATATATTATTATTCATATATTTATATATTTATATATGTATTTGTTTATTCATGCATTTATTATTTTATGTATTTATTTATATAATTATTTATGTATTTTTTGTTTATGATTTTTTTATTTATGCATTTATTTATTTATCTATTTAATGTATATATATATATATATATATATATATATATATATATATATATATATATATATATATATATATATATATATATATATATATATATATATGTATGTATGTATGTGTGTATATATATTGCATTTCTATTTATTTATGTATTAATTTATTTTATCTATTTATTTATGGATTTATTTGTTTGTTTATTTATTTATGAAAGTAAAATAATCTTGTTTTCCGTTTAAAATATTTTACTTAAAGGTGCCGTAGGTGATCTGCCAAAATGCAAAAAGTTAGCATAATATCTTTGAAACAGTCATTTTTTCCATGACAGGCCAAGCTACCAGCCCAAAACACACTCAATAAAATGATTTAATATAATAAAAGGATGATTAAAATACCTCAATATCATTTATAGTCTATATTGCAGACTTTAAGGTAACATTTAATCAAAAGTAACAGCAAAGACTTGTATTGTTACAAATGATTTCTAGAATAAATGAAAAGAACTTCATATTTATTTAACCAAGAATCCTAAAAATGTATGATTGTTTCAGGGGGATTAGTAGTAATATCAACATCAAAACAGTATTTAAGACTGATTTCTTAAGGATTACTGGAGACTTGATGCTGTAAATTCATCACAGGACTCAAACAAAATGCATAACAGTACTTGCAGTAATATTTTACCATATTACTGTGCAAACTACATGCATTTACACACATTTAACACAAATAACAGACAAAGAGCCACTTGTATAGAAGACTGGTTTATTCACGACCATTTCATGATGTCCAATATTGATGCTTTTGGCGAAACAGAGGCGGCAAAAGGAAGAGGAAAGGGAAAATACTGCATGACAGTCTAATGTCAATAAAACACCGTCAGACAACTACGCAATGAAACATAAGAGCGTATCAAAAAACCGTTTATCCGACATACAAATAACATTTATCCTATAAATGCAAAGCAAGGAATTTATTGGTCTCCCTGTCGAGGTGCAAATTACAAGTGGAGGATCGACATCACTGGCCAGAGGAGTTTAATGGAGTCCACCAACACTGCTTTCTTGATTGCACATCGTTTCCTTAACGAGAAAAGGTTTTGCCCCTGAACAGATTACAGGAGAGGGATTAGAATCATATTCACTGTTATCATAAACAGAAGTCAACATTTGAAGGATTAAAACAAGTGCTGCACGATATTGAAAAAATTGGTCATAGCAATATTTAGTTTTGCTGCGATATACATTGAAATATGAATATAATTTTACCAGATAGCTTTAATCATTGATTTATTCATGCATTTGTTTATTCATTCATGCATTTATTTATTTATTCATGCGTTTATTTAATTATTTAATTATTTATTTATTTATTTATTTATTTATTTATTTATTTATTTATTTGTCCATGCAATTATTTATTCATGCATTTATTTATTTATTTGTTTATTTATTTATTCATTCATTTATGCATTTATGTATTCATTTATTCATGCATTCATTTTATTTATTTTTGCATTTATTTAATTATTTATGCATTTATTTACTTATGCATTTATTTATGTATGCATTCATTTATTTATTCATGCATTTATTTGTTTTATTTATTTATTTATGCATTTATTTATTTATTTATTTATTCATGCATTTATTTACTTACACATTTATTTATTTATGCATTTATTTATGCATTTGTTCATGCATTTATTTGTCCATGCAATTATCTATTCATGCATTTGTTTATTTTTTATTAATTCATTTATTCATTCATGCATTTATGTATTTATTTATTCATGCATTTATTTTATTTATTCATGCATTTATTTTATTTATTTTTGCATTTATTTATTTATTTATTCATGCATTTATTTATTTATGCATTTATTCATGCATTTATTTGTCCATTCAATTATCTATTCATGCATGTATTTATTTATTCATTCATTTATGCATTTATGTTTTTATTTATTCATGCATTTATTTTATTTATTTTTGCATTTATTTATTTTATTTATGCATTTATTTATTTATGCATTTATTTTTTATTTATGCATTTATTTATTTATTGTAAAAATGACCTCATCAGAGGTCATGGTTGGTCTGTTTTGAAAGCTTTACATTACTGATAAAATCAAATTCTCCTCAGCGATTTTTCCAAAGAAAATATTTTGCAACATTTGCCAATGTTTTGTTTTGAACAAGCTCAAACAACGGCCAGCTGAAGTGTATTTGAGAAGTACTCTCTAATCATCATGGCTCTGAGAAACAGTGGGTTGAGCAACACTTCTGAGTAATTAATAAAATTTCACAAAATAATTCATCTTCCTCAAGTATGCGCTTGCGGTATTAAACAAAACAGCCCAGAGATTTGCACCATCATCAGCAGAAATCAACCGCTAATACTGGATAAAAGCCCAGAAGAGAGATATTTTCCTGCTGAAGATCTGGCTGAAGGCATGTGTGGTTTTATACGAAGGTGTGAAATGCTAATGATTGTGAAAACGGCACTTACGAAATAGTTTTCATCTCTTTCTTCTCAGCGTCCGGGCGAGCACGGTTCAGTACCTTGAGGAAGTCAGAGGTCTTGGCCCTCATGCGAGTGTGAATGTAGGCCTAAAATGAAGAAAAGCACACTTCTGAGTATACTGTCATGATACTGGGATTTTGATACCGAGCAGTTCCAGCGTTATGGTTGTGACATTTGCAGTAAAATCTCAAAACATTAAGTAACAGAGGAAGTATATGTTAACATTATATTGAAACATCTCTTTAAATTGTTCAAAACAACTAGCCAGAGAGTTGTGGGAGCAGAAAAATATCAATCTGTAAACATTTTTTATATTTTAAATGAGGGAAATAAACATGCGTTACGGATGTGACAAAAAAAGTCTGCGAGTTAACAGTATACAACATACTTTGTAGAAATTATGTGAATTAAACTGCACAACCCAAAAGAAACAATGCTAATAAAGAGGATAAGAGTTGGCTCTGATTTGATTTTACATCTTTGCATTTATGAGGTAAAAGTGTCGTTATGGATGTGACATCTCTCTGTTATGGATGTGACGTATGTGAAATTGCCACTTGTGTGACTTTGGCAAATCAAACATAATTGATTGAAAACATTGACAGAGACATTTTTCAGTATTTTTAAAGCACTGTAAAATACAAGCCTACATATAAAACGCAGAAACGGTTTTGCTATTTTGGCGAAAACTTAATTTTTTTCAAAGCAAGGTTGACATTTGCATGGATTTGCTCTACCATTTTTGATACCACAAAGAAATATACAACACTGACTGAAATCATAATTTAAGCATATATTAGTTTCTTAAATTTCGGGAAACTTCAGGCATGGCTCAAAATATATATTTCTTTAAATATATATTAAATATATATATCAATTTTTAGGTTAGACTTGCTTTTCCAAATAATTCACTAGACAAAATAAAATAAAATAATAATAACAATCATAATAATAAAATATTTGAATACTGGTTTGGTCAGATATTCACATGCCCTGCCAAAATTCACTAGCATAAAATAAAATAAAATGTAATAAAAAAAATAAACAAACAAATAAACAAATAAAATAAATGAAAGGAATAAAAATTGTAATACAAAATAAAATAAAATAAAAAATTTATATAAGAATTAGTAAAAAAAATAAAATAAAATTTTGTTTAATGAAATTGAATAAAATAAAATTTTCAATAAATAAAACAAAATAAATAAAACAAAATAAATAAAAATAAATATATAATACATAATTAAATACATATACTGAAAATTAAAATAAAAATTAAATAAATGAAAATAAAATATTTAAAAAAAATACATTTTTATAAAGAAAATAAATTATTAAATTAAATTAAATTAAATTAAATTAAATTAAATTAAATCTAATTTAATTTAATTTAATTATATACTGGTTTGGTCAGATGTTCATATGCCTTGCCAAATAAAAATCACTGACATAAAATAAAATAAAATTTTGCTTCTCAAATAAAATGTATTTTAATTTGAGAATGCTTAGACAAAAAAAAAAATCATTTTTTAGAAAATGAATCTGATCAACTAATTACAGATTTCTTAAAACTAATAGTAACAATAAAATCACCGACATAGATAAAATAAAAGAATTCTTCATTCGTTGGATTCATGTAACATTCTGATAAATGATGCCATTTAACGTTTCAAGAAAATGTATAACTAATATTTCTAGTTAGAGAAGAAACTACTACCCTATATTATATCAATTTAAAACAATATTACTGACCAAAAGTCACAGTCAGTAATAAGCAAATTACAACCAATAACACAAATAAACACAACATAAATAAAACTGTGCTTCAGGCTGTTATTAATAACATAATATAAAATTTTAATTATTAATAATATAAAATAAATTTGTAATTATAAGTAGTAAAATATATACTTTGTAAATGATTAATAGTACAATAAATGAATAAAATACACTTAAAAAACTAGTCCTTACCATGTGCTTACTAAATGTAAATGATTGAATGATTAAACTAACAGAAAATGCACTATATCATGATATAAATCATTAGCAGTATATGTGAGGACTTGTATCTTGATATGGAATTAATCAAATTATTTATCATTTTGATAAAACAACTTCTGAAAATGAAAAGCATCTAAATTATCAAGATTACAGATTCACATTAAATCGTATTTTCTTCATCTCCTTCAGCATATTTGTTTTAAAGGACGAACGGTTGAAGGACAAGTGTGCAAACTGAGAAACACTCAAACACAAAGAGCATTTTGTTTGCATCTGGGAGGAGAGTCTCACCTTGGAGCACTTTATGTGGTAGTGCAGATAATCCCGGAAGGTGTGGATGAGGTTGATGGTGTTGTCTCTGGTGTTGGCGTTGGTGTGTCGAGGGAACAGCACTGGTGGAGAATTCAGTAAAAAAATGTTAGGATTTATATTTGAGAACAAGACTCTTAGCGTTTATGGTTTCTGTTAGCAATAAAGCCGCTGAAATACTTTTATATGAATCTCTGTATTAGTATGTGTACAGTCAGCAATGCACTTATTGGAAATAAACCATCTTGATGTAAAGGTTATATATTTTATTTTATCATTTGTACAGTTTAATTGTTAACCCCTGTGTGCTGTTGGGGATGCTTTCATCCACTCTGGGCTGATTTTGAGTCTTAATTTGGCCACAACTTTCTCAGTGTTCCAGTAAATAAGATGATTTTTGCTGACAACTCTTATTTTGACACATTTTGGGAAAATGCTTTAAAAATATATTTTTTAAAACTCAACAATACACTCTTGGTAAATTGGTTACCCTTTCGTTATGTTGGTGGCTGTTTTTGCCCCATTGACATTTTTTAATTGCAAAGTCATGCCACCATATAGTTGTGTTTTCTTGATTGTTGGTGATTTTCCCTGTTGAGAAGAGATATAACAAGTAATTTTTACTATTAAGGTTTTAGGTTGCAAACATAAAAATAAGTTATAAACTTAATAATTTAAAAAATTAATAATAGAAATATATATTTAGTATTGCAAAAGTCTGCATAAGTAAAATAATTACAAAAATATCCTAAATAAATTAAATAATTACATTAAATGCAAAATTAAATTAAATATAAAATAATTAAACAAAAAATTTAATAATAACATTAAATATAAACAATAAAATAAAAAAATTAAACTAAATACTAAATTAAATATTAAATAATTAAACAAAGAAATAAAATAAAAAATAATTAAACAATGCAATACAATAAAAAAATCAATAAAATAAAAAATAGAAAATAAATTCAAAATAAAATAGAAAATAATTTAATTCAATTGAAAATAATTTAATTAAATACAAAATGTTATAAAATGTAAAATAAGTAAACAATAAAAAAATAAATAATCAAATTCAATAAAATTAAAAATTAAATAAAATATTTAAAAAAATACAAAATAAATAAAAAATAAATGTAAAAATATTTAATTTAATTAAATACAAAATTTATTTAAATATAAAATAATTAAACAATAAAATAAAATCCACTAAATAAAATAAAATATAATACAAAATAAAATACAAAATGCAATTAAATAATTATTAAACAATTAAATAATTTAATTACATAAACTAAATAAATAAATGAAATTAAATATAAAAAATTAACAATAGTATAAATTAAATATAAAAAATTAACAATAATATTAAATTAAAATAAATTCACAAATTAAATATAAAATAACAAAATAGTCGTTTTGCTTCTCAATTAAGTTGATGGTATTTTAGATAGGTTAAGTTTGTTCTAGAAATAGATAATAACAGACAACACGTTTCTCTTTTTAAAACATCAATTTGAATAACTAAACGCAGTTTTCATTTTTTTTTTTTAAGTAGCATAAATAACAAGAACAAAAAGAACAAATAAAACAGAAGTTAACGAGCTCCCAGCAAACTTTGCATGGCTCCAGAGTCTTCCGGGTTTCATGAAAAACTGAAGTGGAGTAAAGCTGGTAAACACTGTTGGCTTTGATGTCGAGGGTGTGGTGCCTTTATTTTATTCATTAGTAGGTTTGTGTAACGGCCATGAAGAGAAAAGCTGGGCGTTTGCTCTATTGAAGCGAATGCAAATACACACTGCACCTGTCACAGGTAAACAGCAGAGCTTTGTTTAGGGTGTATTTTTAACACAATAAAGATGTAATAGGGTAAAAAAAATAGTTAACTAAAATGAATCATCATACTACCATGGTTGATTAATCACATTAAGAATTGCAAACATATTTATAATGACAAATTTAATTGAAAATGTGATACTTTTGAGCTTTGGTGTTTATATCGCCTTTATATTTGCTCTGTTGTACTTTTTTTTTTAGAGTTGAGCACCCATTTCAGACTGATGTGTGTGCTTTTATGCAATGTTTTAAATCTCTAAATACGTAAATAAGGCATTGTCTAAATAAATATGCAGTAATTTGCATATATTTGTAATATAAACGGCAGAACATTTTATTTTAATGTTTAATGTAGCACCCATTTGAGACTGATGTGTGCGCTTTTGTGTAATGTTTTAAATCTGTAAATATGCAAATGAGGCATTAAGTAAATACACATTTATTTGCATATATTTGTAATCTAAACGACAAAACATGTTATTTTAATGTAAATGTTTAATGTAGCTCCAATTTGAGACTCATGTGCATGCTTTTATGCAAGTTCTAAACATGCAAATGAGGCATTGTTTAAATAAACACATGCTAATTTGCATATATTTGTAAAATGAGTAACAGAACATTAAGTAACACTTTATTTTAAAGTTTAATTCTTACTAATAAATCACTAATGTCTTTTGCCACAATAAACTGCTAACTTGCTGCATTTTAATAGTAATTAAGATAGTTAGGGTTAGATACCAGGTATATGATAAGAGTGCAGAATAAGATCATGCAGAATATCTACTTTATAAGTATTAATAAACAGCCAATATCTTAATATGTGACTTACTACTGTAGTAGGAAAAGCGAAAATTGGGATCCAAACTAAAGTGTGACAGAAAAAAAAACATAACTTATATGAATCACCACACTTTAAAGGTTAAATACTTACATTAAGAATTGCAAAGATTTTTATAATGCCTAATTTAATTGAACGTGATACTTTTTTAGCTTTGGTGTTTATATCGCCTTTATATTTGCTTTTTGGTACTTTTTTTTTTAAGAGTTGAGCACCCATTTGAGACTGATGTGTGTGCTTTTGTGTAATGTTTTAAATCTGTAAATATGCAAATGAAGCATTAAGTAAATAAACATTTATTTGCATTTATTTGTAATACAAATGACAGAACATTTAATTTTTAATTTTTAAATTTTTATAATTATTTTTTCGGGGTTTTCACCTTTATTTTTGATAGGACAGTAGAGAGAATTGACAGGAAAGCATGGGGAGCAGAGAGAAGGGAAAGATCGGCATAGGACCGCGAGGCGGAATCGAACCCGGGTCGCCTCGAGCACCGGAGTGCATGTGTCGACGCACTAACCACTACACCACTGGTACCGACAGAACATTTATTTTAAAGGGTCACGAAACACCAAAACACATTTTTTGAGCTGTTGACAGTCGTATATGTGTCCCACACTGCTAAAAACACTATTAGGACACCTATATTTCACTAAATAGTGTAAATTGGTTGTTTTTGCGTTATTTCAAGCAAATTCGTACTTCCTGTTTGAAACGAATTTTTGAAGCTGCGTCACGGTCATGACATAATAGCGTTGTATTCCAGCGTGCAGACTGGGCGTCTGTGCCAGAGTGAGTCTTATTACGTCTAACAGTGTGTTGCATTAATGCATGAGTAAGGCTTGGTTCAAACCAATGAGCTCGCTCTATTGTGCAACTTTATTAATATTCATTAGTGTCACAGTGTTTACACCACAGAGACGCCACGTTGTGTTGGCAAAACAAGCGTGAAGTGTTGCTTTTATAGTTTGCTGCCATTAAGTTTCGTTTTCATTTTCTCTCTGTGAGAGCTCATCTGGATCACGTGTGGATTAATAGTGTACGCGACGCTCGACAACAATAACTTACGTGTCTAAGGAGGAACATTGTTTACCTGAGAGCTGTTCTCATCTGCAAACGCTGAAATCCGGATTCGCTTGTAGTCTTCTCTTCATAAAGACGCGGCTCTAGTTGCTGGTGATTGTCCTGTCTCTACAGATTTGGTAAGTGAGCGACCAGTGCTCTTTGTTTATTCAGTTTGTTCGTATCGAATTAAGTTAACTATTGCACTGAGTGCAAACATGTTTGCACCGCATTTTGTGACCGGAATAACACACGCTGCTTTCTGACGCTACCTGCCGTGTGCATCTAAGTTTCCGGGAAATGCTGAGTTTTTTTTTCTCTCATTCGCCGTGCGGTATCAAACATTGCATGAAAAATACACGCTTAGAGAAGATCCTCGAATCAAATATCACGTTTGTCGGGAGGAACATGAATGAATTCCCTGAATGAAAGAGCCAAACTGCAGTTAAAGTCCACCATTTAATAATTTGGCAAATAATTCGACAACAGATGTCCATGTAAACACAGTCACATTGTCCGCTGTGGTTGTGTGTTTTGACTCTGAAACTCCCGCTTGCCCAAATAGACACTCCCACACCAAGCCTCTTTTCTTCCTCCGACACTCCCCCCTAAACAGAGCTGGACACGCCCACTTTTCTGACTTTTTCCAAAGTAGAGGTGTGAAAACACCCTGCTGAAACAAGGGGGTTTCATGGCCCTTTAATGTACGTTTAATGTAGCTCCTTTTTTAAACTGATGTACATGCTTTTGTGCAAGTTTTTTAAAGTTCTAAACATGCAAATGAGGCATTGCTTAAATAAACACATGCTAATATGCTAGGGATGGGAAGATTAATCGATATGTATCGATACGCGGTCATGCGCGTGCACGATGCGAGTGCATCGGTTGAGCAGCAGAGGATGAATGAAATTTTGGAAGCAAATCGAGATGCATCGGTTTTTGCGAGATGCATCGGTTTTTCCGAGATACAGCTTATATTTTTAATATAGAATGTATTTTTATTTATTAACAAGTGTTGTCAACCTGTTTTTGGCGCATAATTTAATCGACCTACATAAAGTAAGCCTTAGCAACGGATTTGCGGATGTGTACACTTTCACTACAACTCAGTGTATCAGGTGTGCGGATGAAGCTAGTGGTGCGCCCTCAGAAAGCGCGAGAAGCAAAACAATCATTTTATTCCCCACTGAGTTTTAAATCTTAAGTATGGCAACATTATGGATTTAAGGATGGACGACATGACAGGACAGATGCAATTTGCAAAATGTGCCGCGCATCTGTAAAATACGCGGGCAGTACGACTAATCTGAAATCTCACTTGAAGCGGCGCCACGGTGTTGTTGTGAAAGCTCCATCTTCCAGTGGACCTCAATTCTGCCGCCCTATGCGCGGATATAACTGAGGACGCGCCGGTGTCGCGGACCTCTATTTTGCCGCCCTATGCGCGGATATAACCGAGGACGCGCCGGTGTCGCGGACCTCTATTCTTCCGCCCTATGCGCGGATATAACTGAGGACAAGCGGGTGTCGCGGACCTCTATTCTTCCGCCCTATGCACGGATATAACTAAGGACGCGGGTGTCGCGGACCTCTATTCTGCCACCCTATGCGCGGATATAACTGAGGACAAGCGGGCGCTGATGGAGGTGTTGCGGACATAACTGAGGATGTGGGTGGTAAGGGGGGTGTTGCGGACGCCGCCCTCTCTATACTGCCGCCCTAGGCGGCCGCCTAGGTCGCCTCTATGGACGTGCCGGCCCTGTTCATCTGCAAAGATATTTATTCAGCCTCACGGAGAACGAAGGTTTTGAACACCTCCTTCTGTTAATTTTTATTTAATTATAATAATAATAATAATATTAATAATAATAATGATAAAAATAATTGGGTGTCACGGTGGCACAGTGGGTAGTTTGACCACCTCACAGCAAGAAGATTGCTGGTTTGTTATATTTTTATTAGCCTGTTGTTTACAGTGACAGTGATGTTTCAACGCAGCATAACACTGCTAGTTCACGACCTTAAGTTTTGAATATTCAGTAGCACAATATATCTTTGTAAAACTTGTTTTCATAGTTGAAAAGTTAAATCACAATTCTTGTTGTGCAATGCTAAACCTTTATGTTGAAAGAGTGCAAATATATATATTTTAATATATACTGCACTTATACATTCTGTTTATCTTGAAAATACTTAAATAATATGTGCTATAGGTTCTAAAATGGCCCTCTACTGTAAACTGACACTCTGGCTCTGAGAGAAAAGCCAGTTTGTAAAAATAGTCTTGGTTTTGCTTGGTTAATAAATAATGAATCAAACTCATTCAATGGCACAGCATCCTCTTTCACATCATCTCATAAACTTGATCTAATAAGTTAGTGCTGAATTATCGCATTGTATCGTGATATGGGTGTGAATCGTATCGTGTCGCATCTCAATATGTCACAAATGTATCGCTAATATATCGGATCGTATTCTTTGTATCGAGATGCGTATCGGATCGGCATTATAGCTTAGATGCCCAACCCTATAATATGCATATATTTGTAAAATGAGTGACAGAACATTAAGTAACACTTTATTTTAAAGTTCAATTCTTACTAATAAAGCACTGATAATGTCTTTTGCCTCAATAAACTGCTAATTTGCTGCATTTTATTCGTAATTAAGATAGTTAGGGTTAGATATCAGGTATAGGATAAGAGTGCAGAATAAGATCATGCAGAATATCTACTTTATAAGTATTAATAAACAGCCAATATCTTAATATGTGACTAACTACTGTAGTAAGAAAAGCGAAAATTGGGATCCAAACTAAAGTGTGACAGAATTGTTTTAAACTTATAGGAATCACCACACTTCAAAGGTAAAATAATCACATTAAGAATTGCAAACATTTTTGTATATCACCTTAATTGATTGAAAATGTGATACTTTTGTAGCTTTGGTGCCTTTATATTATTGCTATTGCCTTTATATTTGCTTTTCTGTTCTTTTTTTTTGGTTGAGCACCCATTTGAGACTGATGTGTGTGCTTTTGTGTAATTTTTAAAAATCTCAAAATATGCAAATGAGGCATTGTCTAAATAGATAGCTGATCATTTGCATATATTTGCAATTTAAATAACAGAACATTCTGTAATGTTAAGGTACACTTCTTACTAATAAATTAAAAACAATGGATTTTGCCAAATAAACTCTTAATTTGCTGCTTGTTATTAGTAGTTAGGGTTGGGTATTGGGTAGGATAAGGGGCCATTCACACAATGCATTTATCCTCTCCAATTGTTAGTGTGTTAGACGGATGACTGTTACGCTCATTACTGTCAGTTTCATAGCAGTGGATCAATCAGAAAAGCTTAGAGGCAGGGCAAGTGTAGAGAGCTTCTGTTTAAAGTAGAAAGTTGGCAAGACAACTTTATTGTCTACAGAACAAACCACTGTTATATAATGACTTGCCTGATTACCATAACTTGCCTAATTAACCTAATTAACACAATTAAGCCTTTAAATGTCACTTTAAGCTGAATATTAGTATATTGAAACATTTTGTACAATATTATTTACTGTCATCATGGCAAAGATAAAATAAATCAGTTATTAGAAATGAGTTATTAAAACTATTATATTTAGTAATGTGTTGAAAAAATCTTCTAAAAATATACAGGGGGGTTACTAATTCAGGAGGTCTAATAATTATGACTTCAACTGTATGTAAGCTTATTGTACAAACCGAAGGTGATGTATCCGATGTTGTCCCCCACTGCGGCGTCAGTGTCCTTCAGCTCCAGAGGCGGCTCTCGGTGACTGAACAGCACCTGAGGAGCCGTGTGACTCGCCCTGCGGCCCTCCTTAAACTCCTGAACACAACAGAGACAAACATATGAGGAAATACTGAAGAAAAAAACAAAAACATATAATAATCTAAGACTATTCAACATTATTTTGAGTTATAATATCCTAAATAATTCATGATAAACATGACAAATTAACTCCTGACAAATTAAATTAAGATTTGTCTTACAAACTCTTTTACTCGTTCTTAACTTGCTTATTCTTAAAATATATAAATAAATGTAAAAATCTACAAGTGCAGTAGGACAAAATAATAGTGGTAAAGACAAATTATGATCAATCGCAACCAAAATAAAAGTTGTTTTGACATAATATACACTCACTGGCCACTTTATTAGGTACACCTGTCCAATTGCTTGCTAACTCAAATTTTCGATCTGCCAATCACATGGCAGCAACTAGGTGTGTAGACATGGACAAGACAATCTGCTGCAGTTCAAACCGAGCATCAGAATGGGGAAGAAAGGTGATTTAAATGTGGCATGAGGTCTGAGTATTTCAGTAACTGCTGATCTACTGGGATTTCCATATACAACCATTTCAAGGATATACAGATAATGATTGAAAAAAGAGAAAATATCCAGTAAGCGGTGGTCTGTGGGCACAAATGCCTTCTTGATACCAGAGGTCAGAGGAGAATGGCTAGACTGGTTCCAGCTGATAGATAGACAACCGTTACTCAAATAACCACTCGTTATAACCTAGGTCTGCAGAAGAGCATCTGAATGCAAAACACATCCAACCGTGAGCCGGATGGGCTACAGCAGCAGAAAACCACACCGGGTGCCACTTCTGTCAGCTAAGAACAGGAAACTGAGGCTACAATTCACACAGGCTCACTAAAACTGGACAACAGAAGATTGGAGAAACGTTGCCTGGTCTGATGAGTCTCGATTTCTGCTGAGATATTAGGAGGGTAGGGTCAGAATTTGCCATCAACCCTATGAAAGCATGGACTGTACCAAAGGTTCAGGCCGGCGGTGGTGGTGTAATGGTGTGGGGGATATTTTCTTGGCACACTTTGGGCCCATTAGTACCAATAAAGCATTGTGCTAACACCACAGCCTACCTGAGTATTGTTGCTGACCATCTCTTTATGACCACAGTGTACCCATCTTCTGATGGCTACTTCCAGCAGGATAACACACCATGTCATAAAGCGTGAATCATCTCAGACTGGTTTCATGAACATGACAATGAGTTCACTGTACTCAAATGGCCTCCACAGTCACCAGACTTAACCCAACAGAGCACCTTTGGCATGTGGTATGTGGTATGTGTAGCCGACAAATCTGCAGCAACTGTGTGATGCTATTATGTCAATATGAACAAAAATCTCAGGATATTTCCAGTACTGTTGAATCTATGCCACAAAGGATGAAGGCAGTTGTGAAAGCAAAAGGGGCTCCAACCCTGTACTAGCAAGGTGTACCTAATAAAGCGGCCAGTGAGTGTATATTTCATATCTAAATAGTATTTTGGAGATATAAACAGTGATTATTTATTTATTTATTTATTTATTTTTTGCATTGATTATTTTACAAAACTCTTACTATAAGAATCAATGCAATAAGGTCAATAGTTACAGGTTTCCAACATTATTCAGATTATATTTATTTTGTGTTCAATGAAAAAGTAAAACACATAAAGCTTTGGAACTAAATGAGGGTAAACATTGATTTCCATAATATTTTCCTACTACGGAAGTCAATGGTTACTGGTTTTCAACATTCTTCAGATAATCTTCAATGTAAAAAAAAAACTCATAAAGGGTTGTAAACAAATGAGGGTCACCATTGATTTCCATTGAAAAAAAAAATCTGCTATGGACGTCATTGGTTACAGGTTTCCAACATTATCCTCTTTTTGTGCTGGACAAAAAAAGAAGCTCATATAACGTTGAAACCAAATGAGAGTGAGAAATGGTGAAAAATAAATATTTATTTTTGGGTGAACTACCCCTTTACATTTTAAAATGTGCTTTATGCACCAACGCACAATTCCTAGTAAGAGTTTTATGAAATTAATCAGTGCAAAAATAATAATAATCAATGTTTACATCTCCAAAATACTACACTTTATTTACTGTGTGTAACAATGACATAAAAAGTCATCAAACATTGTGAAAAGCACACAGCAGTAAAGTGTTAACAGTGAGCTCATAAATGTTGAGATCAGTCTAAATGACAGCACTGCACTCTGTAAATACAGGAATGACAGCAGTGTTTGACATTCGGTGGTTTCACCTTGTCATTTACCTGGGTGTAAAAATACCTGGATAACAAAAAGGTATGCATTTCAACATTTCCAGCAAACAGAGAGCTGTTCAAGAAAATTAACAGAAAGAGAGCCAACCTGCATGAAGACTTTCCCAATGATGACATCATCGTCATCCTTGAACACTGTGCTGAACACAACAGTCACTCGGTCTTTCTTTGCCTCAATATACCTGAAACCAAAAAGAAAAACACACAGGCACAGGAGAGATTAGAGCTGGATTACACTGAACATAGATCCTGTTCGGCACAGTTTATTACAAACAAATGCCTAGAATGAATTTTAACGTATTTAGCACATAGCGATAGATAGATAGATAGATAGATAGATAGATAGATAGATAGATAGACAGACAGACAGACAGACAGACAGACAGACAGACAGACAGACAGACAGACAGACAGACAGACAGACAGACAGACAGACAGAATTTTGTGGTATATTTTTGTAATTATTCATAAATTATATTACTGAATTAGTGAAAAAACACACAAAATGACGTATTTTTAATATAAAAAGTAATTGTGAACCAGATTTTTTTTACCTTTTATCACGGTCTTGGACATGTGAACGATTAGTAACAACATTGGCTTTGATGCATGGTTAGATTTAAAAATTTCTCCCTAATTTACTGCTGGTGGCTGTTTTTGCCCCATTGACTTCCATTATAACCATATTTGATGTTGCATAAATATACAGTCTTTGTTTTTGTTTACTCCATGTAGTTCCGAGAGGTGAGATGCATATTTAGATTTTCCTCAGACACATTGAACTAAGTGCTTAAAGGTCACTCTCACATACAGACACACATACACTTTAATTTGCTGTCGTACTCTATATAAAATCCAGTAAACTCAGCTTTTTTGCACAGACCTATCTAAAGGGTTAATAGTGCCAATTGATGATCAACAGTAAAAATTACTAATTTGACCTCCTCCCAACTGGGAAAACCACCAACAATCAAAAATGCATGATTATATGATGTCATGGTTTTGTGATAAAAAAAAGTGGTTATAATAGAAGTCAATGGGGCAAAAACAGCCATCAACAGTAAATTTGGGAGAAATTTTTTTTTAATTAATCAAAAGCAATGCATCAAAGCCAATATTGCTTCATATGTCCAAGACTTTGATAAAAGGTAAAAAAAAATCCAGTCCACAATTACCTTTTCTATTGAAAATACACCATTTTGTGTTTTTTTTTTCACCAAATCAGTGACATCATTTATGAATTTGGCAAAAAAAGAGTAACTTTTCTAAACAATTTAGTAGTTTTGATGAGGCCTGAGGTTGATTAACAGATTTATGCAAAAAAAAAATGTTTTAATTAATCTGATGCATTTTTACAGCAGTGTAATTCAGTGGATGTTTTCCCAACATAACAATAACAAAAGGGTAGTAAAATTGCTCAGAGTGTATCATTGACATTTTTTTAAATTCAAAGCATTTTCTTAAAATATGTGTCAAAGTAAGATTTGTCAACAAAAATCATTCTGCTAGCTAAAAACACTGAAAAGGTCCTGGCCAAATAAAGACTTAAAGGGCCATGAAACCCCCTCGTTTCAGCAGGGTGTTTTCACACCTCTACTTTGGAAAAAGTCAGAAAAGTGGGCGTGTCCAGCTCTGTTTAGGGGGGAGTGTCGGAGGAAGAAAAGAGGCTTGGTGTGGGAGTGTCTATTTGGGCAAGCGGGAGTTTCAGAGTCAAAACACACAACCACAGCGGACAATGTGACTGTGTTTACATGGACATCTGTTGTCGAATTATTTGCCAAATTATTAAATGGTGGACTTTAACTGCAGTTTGGCTCTTTCATTCAGGGAATTCATTCATGTCCCTTCCGACAAACGAGATATTTGATTCGAGGAACTGCTCTAAGAGTGTATTTTTCATGCAATGTTTGATACCGCACGGCGAATGAGAGAAAAAAAAACTCAGCATTTCCCGGAAACTTAGATGCACACGGCAGGTAGTGTCAGAAAGCCGCGTGTGTTATTCCAGTCACAAAATCCAACACGAGGTTATAGTTTGGTTGTAACTGTTAATGCTAACTTGTTTACACTCGGTGCAATAGTTTGTTTGATACGAATAAAATACGAACTGAATAAACAAAGAGCACTGGTCGCCCACTTACCAAATCTGTAGAGACAGGACAATCACCAGTAACTAGAGCCGCGTCTTTATTTAGAGGAGACTACAAGCGAATCCAGATCTCAGCGTTTGCAGATGAGAACAGCTCTCAGGTAAACAATGTTCCTCCTTAGACACATAAGTTATTGTTGTCGAGCATCGTGTACACTATTAATCCACGCGTGAGTCTGCGCTCTCACAGAGGGAAAATGAAAACAAAACTTAACGACAGCAAACTATAAAAGCAACACTTCACGCTTGTTTTAAAAATACAACGTGGCGGCTCTGCCGTCTACACTCTGACAGCAATGAATATTAATGAAGTTGCACAATAGAGCGCGCTGATTGGTTTGAACCAAGCCTTACTCATGCATTAATGCAACACTGTAAGACGTAATAAGACTCACTCTGGCACAGATGTCCAGTCTGCACGCTGGAATACAACGCTATTGTGTCATGACCGTGACGCAGCTTCAAAAATTCATTTCAAACCGGAAGTACGGATTTGCTTGAAATACAGCTCAACAGCTCAAAAAATACTGATCAACAGCTCAAAAATGTGTTTTGGTGGTTCGTGACCCTTTAAAATCCCCCCAGATAGGATGAAAACATCCCCAACACCCCACAAGGGTTAAAATCTATTTGATATGATTTTTCAGTTATGTCGATCTTTTGTTTACAAATCCTGGTCCTCAATTAATGATCTTTTTTTCAATCGTTGCTGATGATGATGATTCATGTTTAAAGGTATGTCTAAGCTATGATTTATTAACTGTTTAAATTAACATTTGATATGAATGTTGCTGCTTAATATATAACAATTTAAAATCTTGCGTATACAGTTGAAGTCAGAATTATTAACCCTTCTGTCAATTCGTTTTTCTTTTTTTAATATTTCCCAAGTTATTTTTTTTGAGCATTTCCTATAATATTTTTTCTTCTGTAGAAAATCTTATTTGTTGTAATTCGGCTAGAATAAAAGCAATTTTTAATTTGTTTTAAACCATTTTAAGGTATTTTTTTCCCAATTGTCTACAGAATAAACCAGCGTTATTCAATGATTTGCCTAATTACCCTAGTTAAGTCTTTAAATGCCACTTTAAGCTCTATAGAAGTATCTTAAAAGGGGGCTAATAATTCTGACTTTACTGTATACATTTCATGCATGAAAAATTCATTACATGTTTTATCGACTAAATGTAGAAGAGCTAATGTTTAAGAGCTAATGTTTTTAACCTAAAAAACAATCACTTGACTAGCTGATTATGAAAACAGTTTGAAGGAACTCTCAGTATCTTACATCGACTCGTCGTCCCTGTAATGAACAACGGCTCTTTTCTCGCCATCGCGACCCTCCTCCTGAAACTTGAAGTACTTCTCGAAGACGGAAGCGAAGCAGTTTCTCTTTAGGATCCCAGCCTGGTGGATCATCTCCTCTTTATTGGGTGGAAGAGCGTCCAGGTCGAAGAGCAGTGAAATGTTGTAGCCTTCAAAGAGGGGGAAAAAAACCATCAAACTACTAATTCTACTGTAAAAATAAAAATAAAGACAATAATAAACAAAGTTTGGCTCACCGTCTTCTGGTGCCACGAGGAAATTTCCATAAACGCGCTTCAGCAACTGAAACACAACCAATTTAAAGGTGACAAATCTTTTTTAAAATTGTAATTAATTTAACAAAAACTCTAGTTTTATGAATAATGTGAAAATATTTATGTAAATTTACTTAAAATGGGAATTAAACATCCTTTATAGATTTTTTATACAAGTATAAAATGACACTGTTTAAAAAAGAACACAAAAAAAGAGCAAAATAAAGGTTTAAATTAAAATTCTGACAATAAATAGGGGTGACACGGGGGCTCAGTGGTTAGCACCGTCGCCTCACAGCAAGAAGGTCGCTATTTCAAGACCCGGCTGGGTCAGTTGGCATTTCCGCTGTGGTGACCCCTGATGAATAAAGGGAGTAAGCCGAAGGAAAATGAATGGATGAACAATAAAACTTTGCATGGATCAAAGACAAAAATGTGTTTAAGCATCTATACAAACGAAAATATAATACAGCTTTTAAAAATTTAGATTTTTTGCATTTTGTATTAAATACATATTTAATATGCTACCAAAATGTCATTAATTTTAATAGGCAAAACACAGGACAGATAAAGTACGAGTGGCATTTTTACATGAACGTTTTGCACAATGAAGATGGAACATAATTGCACACATATTTTTCCAAAAACATTTAAGCAATCAGACAACTGCATTTAATATTAGGCGTGTAGCGGATCATGGTCGATTTGTGATCACAACCATGTGGAACACACATGACCAGCGGATTAAAACATTTTATTTTTTACTTCTGGATTAAACCTAAATTCGTAACAATCACAGAGAGATCCATCAAACCACATGTATGAAAGCATTTAGGCTTTCCTGTAAAATGTAATGAAGGAAGAAGTTGTGGTAGGTTATTTAGGATGTGGGGGTTTTCTTAGGTTATTAAAGGTGTTTTCTGTCGCTACTTGTTTTACCTGCATTAATGCAATCAGTGTAAGCTGCATGCTTAATCATTAAAAGATTGGGAACTTTTCAACAAATTATAAATGATGGTGATTTGCATACGTTTATTCATCCTAATAGATTCAGTCTTCAGTCTTTGGAGTCATGAAATTACAAACAGTCAAGTAACACAGAAATACTAGCATAACAGTTTATAGTATAGATCCCTTGATGTTTATGGTAAAGATTAAAATCACCGTCATATGCATTTAACTTGATGCTCAAGAATGAAAGTTGCACGTAGTAATTGCATTTAACCAATAGGTGGCGACAACCAGCCATCAAAAATATGCCACTGAATAATTCTTCAAATATGACACATCCAGCAGTGAAACATTAAGTTTTGTGAGTGAATAACTGAATCATTTATTGTAAATGAGACTGAAATAAACATGGATTGTACAAATTACAAATGTTAGATTTTTACATTTAGCGTTATCAGCAACAGTAGCAACTCCTACTTTTACAATACTGAATATTCTACAATTTATTTTTATTCAGCTGATTATTTTTTTTCATTTTAATTTTTCATATTTTTTTATATAAAGGGTTCATACACATTTTTACTACTAAAATTCCATGACTTTTCCAAGACTTTTCCAAAACTTTCAAGTACATTTTCATGACGTAACATCTGCATATGGTAAATAATAAAAAAATCAATGACCTTCAAATTTATTCCAGCATATCATAGAACACGCAACAATCTATTTAGTTTACATTTGTTTTTATATCTATGTCAAATGGATTTTGATAATGCTTACACAGCACCAACAATGTGAGAGAAAGGACAGAGACAACTAACCTATTCAAGTTAGAGCTGCACAATATATCGTTTCAGCATCAATATTGCAATGTGTGCATCCGCAATAGTCACATTGCAGGATATGCAGTGTTGGGATTATAGTTTGATATAGAGTTTAATCATAATGGAGTAACAGTTTATCATCTGCATGCATTTTTAAAGAGAAAGTTCACCCACTAATTATTACTTACGATTTTCATTACAACCCTTCACTTGTTTCAAACATTTATGAGTTTTCTTTTTTTAAATGAACACAAAAAGAGTATAACTTAATAACTCCTATAGCATTAATACAAGCTAAAAGTGAGTAAATAGTGAGTACGTTTTAATCTTTGAGTAAACTGTCTCTTGAAGGCCTGTGACTGTGTGAACATTTCAATATTTCAGATTTTAAACATCCGGCCACAGGAATTTTTTTTAATACATTAAGAAAGATTAAATAATATACAATGAAGACACTGCAGTGTTGATTATTCAATATCTGCACCTGAATAGTGAATACCTGAAAACTATAATTCACTTACTACTCATTTTAAACTATATTTTATTTATGCTTGTAATTTATTTGTTATATATTATTCGAGATTCATTCCTCTACAAAATCCCCCCAATCAATCCAAATAAACCTGTTAAATCATCTGTTGAAATCGAATTTACATGGCAATATATATCACAGAAATAAAAAAATATGGTAATGTCAGATTTTTCCAATATCGAACAGCCCTAATTCAACTATACAGATATTTGTTAAACTAATTTCCATGACTTTTCCAAAACTTTGTGGGTTTTTCTGTTGTTTCAAAACTTTTCCAGGCCTGAAAAATGCCATGTCAAAATACCATGACTTTTCTAGGTCAGTGGTTCTCAAAGTGGGGGTCGGGACCCCTTGAGGGGTCGCGGAACAATGAAGGGGGGGGAAATCGCCAGGTGATTTCCAAAAATCTACTTATTATTATTATTATTAGACCATAAGAATTACCATATTTTATCCATAACCAACTGAAGAGAAAAAAACAGCCATTTATAGTTACTATAGTAGCTTATTTACTTGTTCTATTGAATTGCGACCCCTGGGGTAAATACATTATATTAAAGACAGCAATAGCGTCAGATGCAGCAGATTGATTTTATAACACCAGGTTAAACTTTCTGGCCCATTTACAGCACTGAAATACATTAAAAAAATTAAACGAAGAATAGACTTTGGTCTATTGGTGTGTGTGTGCGCCATTGCATGCAAGTTTTCTGTATTTATAACCACCTCAGAGGATATTGGGGGTCGCGAGTCACTGGCATTGTTATTTTAGGGGTCGCGTGCTGAAAAGTTTGGGAACCCCTGTTCTAGGTTTTCCATGACCGTATGAACCCTGTATGGGTTTTTGTAAAAAATGCAAGGCAAATTACATTTGTCTCCCCTTTTTGGCTGATCCATGACTAAAAAAAATTATGTGATCCGTTACACCACTATTTAATATACTTTTACAATGCATATAAAAAAACAACTATATTTAATTTAACATTATTCCCAAACATATAAACTTGGGTGGGTGTACTAATTTATGGACGGTTACTGCACAGGTGTTTTTCAATTAAATTGACTTAGAATCATCTTTAGTTTGCTCCTGGTTAGTGAATGACACCCATGTCCTGTCAACTACCTATGAATAAAAAACAACAGGCACAGGCTTGCTTCATTCCTAGCATTTTTATCATGCTTTGAGCACCCTGTTATTTCATCACCTGTTTAAGCAGAATATCATATGTTATGGATAAGATTCAATAAATCATGCAGGTCATTTTTAGATTGAGTCTTTGTGTATAACAGATTTAGACAGCGAGTAAAGGGCTGATTTTGCTGGATGCCGCGTCTGATTTGCATTGGTAATTCGCTTGATTTACATTGACAAAGCTGAATAGGGCTGGAACAAACTTTGCATAACTATTTGCATTGGCAGGGGGAAACAAAAGGCCACCCATCAACCTCAACTCCATGATCCCGCAAGACTATCAGAAAAATTCTGCCCTAAAAACAAATGCGCTGATTTCAATTTAGGCACTTCACCAAGAAATAGGCCTATAAGTAATGAATCAACTATTTACTGAATTATTTGAAAGTGACAGCACGGTGGTGCAGTGGGTAGCACAATCACCTCACAGCAGGAAGGTTGCTGGGTCGAGCCTCGGCTGGGTCAGTTGGCATTTCTGTGTGGAGTTTGCATGTTCTCCCTGTGTTGTCGTGGGTTTCCTCTGGGTGCTCCGGAAAACAATAACAATGGTCCTAACGGATTTCCTGTTTTACATTTTTAGTTATCATATCTTCCCAGAACCCCAAAAGGTCCACATATTGATGTTTAAACCGCTGTCATAACATTATTTATCAAGTATATTGAATTAACTTTTGTTATAGTTATGTAATAGTCTGAGAAGCAGGAAATGTTCATGGGCTAATAACATCACCACATTGAAATGGTGTATAGAAATACCTCTCAACCCAGTTGTGTGCTTATTAGGCATAGGACGATAACTATTTTCAAGGTATATTGCGGTTTGGAAAAGTCAAGATTTTAAAACAGTCAACATTTCTAAGGGTATGTGTACATTCTTAATTTCCTATTTTGTTTTTTTGTTTTTTGGCCAACAGTATCTCCAGCAGAAAAGATGCCATTTTAAATTGTAAAAAAAAATCCAGACTCGTCAGCGCTACCAAGCTGACCAATCACAGAGCTTGCGCTACGCGTTGTTGCGACATGTAGTTACATTTTTTGAGAGGTGCACGTCAGCGACGCCGACGGCCACGGCGAAGGGCTATGCGTCAACGCCGTAGCATACGCGTGCGTTTGACGCAGAAGTATAAATCAGCCTTTATGCAATGGAAAACATGACTGCATGTCTAGAAATGAAGACTGATATTTTTTTGAAGAGGTGGAAAAGAATTACAAGATATTAAGGTATGTTCATTTAGAGGTTAATTAACCTATCAGCAATGTAATTTGAGGTAACCCCTGAAAAGAATGTATGATGGCAGTACTCTTTGTTAATTTATTAATTTATTTTGTATAATTTTTTCTTTTTTTCTTTTTATATTATTATTTTATATTTATATTATCTCATCTGTAAGAGGTTAAATTATAGGGGAAGTTATTCTGTAAAAAAGAAAATAACAATAATGATAATTTTAAATAAAAATTAAAATTTAAAAAAGGAAAAAGTGGAAAAAAATAAAAATAGAAATATAAAATCCGATAAAAATTAAATAGGAAAATCTTTAAAAAGCAAAAAAAATAAATAAATACATACATTTTTTAAAAGCAAAAAAAATAAATAAATAATAATAGAAAATCTGAAAAAAATTAAACAGGAACATTTTTAAAAAGCGAAAAAATAAATAAATGAATTTCTAAAAAGCAAAACAAAAATAGAAATAAAAAAAAATCGGAAACAAAATTAAATAGAAAAATCTTTAAAAAGCGAAAAATAAATACATTTTTAAAAAGCAAAATAAAACAAAAATTTTAAAAATCTGAAAAAAAAACTTAAATGGGAAAATCTTTAAAAAGCAAAAAATAAACTAAATCAGAAAAAAGCTAAAAACAAAATAAACTAATATAAAAATTAAATTTAAAAAATTTAACAAAACTATTTACAATGTGAAACAGCAGCTGATTTCAATATTAACTGAGCTCAAGCTAAGTTTATTCAAGAAGGAACCCATGTTTCATGTTTCTTTTTTTACAACATGTCACTTCCCCCATTTAAAGCGAGTAATAGACACTTCCTGTTTCACAGTGAAGCCACAAGTCATTTTAGACCCTTACATGGTGAATAAATGTGATCGGCCTGCGCTGAAACATGTAAAAATCACAAGACGAGAACAGTGTGAGAATGACACAAGAGGATCAGTGAAATAAAACAGCTCATTAGCCACTTTATTATGGCGTTTCATAATCATCCTCAGGAACTCAGGACTGCATGTATGAAATGGTCTCAATACACTACAAACGCCACTCAATCCAGACGCAGTCTTGCAACCTGCTAGCTAAATTGCTTAGTAGCCTGCAATGACGTCCTTGTGGACTATTATTCTGAACAGACAAAAAAAAAGAAGAAAATTAAACTATACAGTTCATATTTCATCCAAAAATCACAAGATAAATACAGGATTGTTTAAGTTATTCAAAAGAAATGAACACTTTTATTTATTATGGATTTCTTAAATTGATTAAAAGCGACAGTAAAAGACCTCTACAGCATTTAAAAGGAAAGTGAGACTACTGAAAACACAGCAAAAATAATGACGTTTACATTATTAAAGGAATAGTTTACTGAAAATGTCAATTCTGTCATAATTTACTCATCCTCCACTGCTGGAGAAGTTGGTGGTTCATTCCACTGTGGCAACCCCTGATTATTAAAGGGACTAAGCCGAAAAAAAATGAACAAATGAATGGAAAGAGTTAAATATTAATATTCATTTACTTGTAATAATTTAATATTTTCTACTTATTGCAAAAAATGTAATATTAAGCACATTTTAATATAGATATGTCCTAATGGATTTGTAGTTCCCAGCATGCTTTTCAAGAGATTGCATTACAGAATAAATATTTTGAAAATAAAAGCAACAGTTACCAGTTTGATCATCATTAGTTTGAAGATTAAGAAGAGTCTTGAGTAAGGTTTTTTTGTTTTCAAGAGTTCACACTTGTTGATGATTGATTATAAAGCTTGTTTGGCATGCTGTACCAGGAGAGAGCCCTGAGCTCATAAGATCATCGAGCCCGGGGCTCCCTCCTGTTTGAAAGGCGAAAGGGGAGTTTGAGCTCAGGTAGATCGAGAACTCCCCTGCTGTAGTAACTAATGAACAGATAGTGTTTGCTCTTTAGAGATAACTACTTACTAGGAGCATGTCTATAGTGCTGATCTGGATAAGTAAATTAACTTAAGTTGCATGTTTTTGGACGATGGGAGACAACCGGGAAATTTGAGGGAAACCCACATGAGCACGGGGAGAACGTGTAAACTGCACACAGACACATCGACTGGCTTGGTAAGGACTAGAACCAGTGATGTTCTTGCTGTGAGGCAACAGTGCTAACCACTGGGCCACCGTGCCACCCAACTAGGAAAGGAGAAGGATTAGGGGTGGAAGGGGGGATTCTTCAAAACAAAGATGGCTGTTATATGGAACTTAGGGTATTTATAGTGGCTTAGGAATCGTCTGATTGGTGAATCATAAATTGAATAAAGCGAGACTAGCCGCAAGCAATTACAAGCACGTGATCCTCTCGAAATTAGTTTCAAAATAAACTTCACTTAAGGTTACCACTTTGCAGAAGAGCAGCACTCATGCTTTGGGTCTTGGTATTTTCATTACTAGCATTAATGTCTAAAGCTTCACTCAGAGAGTCATAGCTATGCTAACACAAACTCTAAGATCAGTAAGCATTTTTGAAGTCAATTTGCTTTTGGGTTCAATTTGCTTATAATAAAATGAAATAACAAATTAAAAACAAATAACAGTGAAAATGTCTTAAAGGATCACGAAACACCAAAACCCATTTTTTGAGCCGTGGACAGTAGGGTTGGGTATCGTTTGGGGTTATTTCGATACTGGTGCTAAATCGATACTTTTAAAACGTTACCGGTGCCAAAACGATGCCTGAACTAATACTTTTGAGCCACAAAATTATGGTGGATGACTCTAAAAGAAACTTTTACTTGACAAAATCTTTAAAAATAATAGTTTTAATAGAAAAATTTCATTAAAGTTTAAAGTAAACATCAATTCATATTTGATATATTTGAAATACATTATTATATTTCCTTTAAACATTTGTTGGTTAGCATGAATTTAAGGTTTGCATTATGAAATTACATTAGCTTACTACTAACTGTAGAACTGTGGAAAGGCTGTCTTCAAAATACTGAACTCCTTTTTTCTAGGGTTGGGGCTTGTCACTATGCTCACATGGACATCAATAATCTAATGATTTCAATAATCTCAATACGACAATTTTATGATTAAGATCCCATCTTACATTTTATAGCACAAAGATCCATTAACATCATTGCATCACCACACTATCCATGTTTTCTCCAGAGTTATTTGTAATTTCAGGCGTTTCATTTTTCAACTTTAACTGCAGTTTCACTTTCATTCAGGAACATTTCATTCATGCCCCCATGACAAACAGGTATTTGATGCGAGCATCAAGGACTGGTGGAAGAGTGCTCTTTTAATGGAATTTGATACCGCATGTTAATAGGTTCATTTCTAAAAAAAATAATAATAATTTCAAATCTATTTGTAGTGATTTTCGAATGAAATGCAGCAGGTTTTGTGTTCATCTCCTCGTTACCTCATCTGCTCCGTGCTCCTGAAGCTCCTTGAAGAATTTGAGAGAGATGCTGACCATGACTTTAGTTTTGTCTCCATTGGGGTTGGAGATGTGGTACAGCACGCCATCGAAGTCTGTAGAAAAAACACATGCTATATCAGTAACGGTGCATTTATTAGTGTAGTATAAAATAAACACTTCTGCTATTTTAACATTATGATGCATAATGCATGTGAGCATGCATTGTATAATATGTGCATAGTAATAACTTGGGGTTGCACAATTTATAATTTTACCCTATATATTGCAGTGTGATCATTCGCATTAGTCACATCGCAATATAAGCAATGTTGGACTTATCGAACAACACATGGACATGACCTCAATCACTTTTAGTGATGCAATATACACCAATTCTAGCAACATTTTAGCTGATTGTGCAAGTCCATCTCTAATGGAGATGTCAGTAAGGTTAAAAAAAAGACTATAGTATTCACTACAAATTACTATAGTATATTTTCATGTGGGTGTCTGACAACTATAAATAGATCTGGTAGCAGATATCGCAGCCCTGTTACTTTTCACCTTGCACTTTTTTGTTAACATTTATTATTATTTTTTGTTTGTTTAGGATTTGTGTTTTCACATTCTGATACCAATGCCTGATTATTACATTGTTAAAATGACTATACTTAAATGAAATATTCTTAGTAATGAAATATTATATGTTCTTTGGAAGAGTGTACTAGCATTATGCATCTATAAGACAATAATATCGTTTATCGCAATATATTTAGGTGCAATACATCATACAACAAAAAAACTGTTATCATGACAGGCCTACCGTTTGTACGTTTAATAATTATTTATACACAAAAGACTGCACTAATATTTGACATGTTTTTATTTAATTATTGTATTTGATTGCTGTTATGGCCCGCTTCCACTGAGTAGTACAGTAGGGTATGGTACAAATCAGTACGGGTCACCTTTATCAGGCTTGTGTTTCCATTTCTAAAAGGGTAACAATGGTACTCTTTTGGTGGGTGTACAACAGAAAGTTTCAGTCGCAGTGATTCTCGCTCTAGGAAATGTCGAAGTAAACCTGTACGGGTCGTTCACATATCATATGGGAAGCACTTCTCACAAAACAGAGCTTTATACACACAAATACTTGTGTAGAAATGTTCATTACTAACTTTTCTATGAACATGGTTTGATTATAACTGCAGATCAATGACTACTATTACATAAAATTAATGATTGCAAAATTTATGAACACATACAGCCCCTTACAGACTCTGATATGTTACCATTTACAGACAAAACTACACACAGCATAAATTTAGTCCTTATTTGGGATCAAAAACAACACACAACATATAGCCTAGAGTCAGTGCAAACCTCTCATCTGTATCTTTAATTTTCCCCAGCACATGAAACCTCTGTTTTTGCCATTATCAGTTCATAATAGTCCAAAAGGCGATGATAATAGTTAAACATGGCAGTTTGTTAAGGTTTAAGACTGCTAAAAGAATCATTTGCTTCTTTGTTTTTTCCGGCTTCTCCTTTGTTTTTTCACGCTTCACTCTCACGTTTGTCCGTTTCTGTAAGAATCGGATGTCCGAATCATGCGCATGTTAATATCATCAGCTCAATATGTTTGTTATTTTAATCTATCTCTGGAGAAAACAAATCCAATCGCGCTTTTAGACGGCCTCGTAAAACTAAAAACAGGACACGGCAGATTGTGTTCTTCTTGGCATTGCGGCTGTACATCATGACAACAACAAGGTTTGTTTGAGCTCGGTTTGACCTTGGCTCATTATTATATGCATATAGTATTACGATGAAATGTCTTGGCTATTTGGCCTGGCTCATTTTCCTGCTTGTGTGCCCTAGTGACGTATCTCTGTAAACCAATGGCGTGCAGCTGTGCGTCTAGCTCCACCTTTTGGCACCCTTTTGTCATGCTAGGTACCTTTTGCAAAGGGTAACCAAAACATGGTACGGTACAGGTCCCTTTTTGGTTCCTTTTTTGCCCGTTTCCACTGAGAGGTACGGTACAGTTCGGTTTTGTATGTTTATAGCCGTTTCCACAGTCACAAAGCGTACCGAATCAAACCGTACCACTTTTTAGGCACCCTTTCGAAAGGGTACCAAAAACGAGAAAGGGCACCAAAAGGCGGAGCTAGACACGCAGCTGAACACTGATTGGTTACAGAGACACGTCATGAGCTCCTGGAGCTAGACAGAATGTAAACAAAGGATCTGCCATGTTCTAATACACAGCCGAGACATTGCACTCAAATTCTATATGCATATAATAACGAGCCATGGATGACCCGAGCCCAAACAAACCTTGTCCTCGTCTTGATGAACAGACACAAAGCCAAAAAGAGAAATCTGTCGTGTCCTGTTGTTGCTTTACGAGCCCGTGTAAAAGTGCGAGCGGTATTTGCTTTCTACTTCTATCGTTTTCACTTCTATACTCGGTATAACTTCTTGAGCTGATGATAATAACGTGTGCGTGATTATTAAAGTGTCTCCGTCATCTGATCCATTTAGAAAGAAAAGGACAAGCACGAGAGTGACGCGCGAAAAAAAGGAGAAGCCGGACAAAACTCAGGATCCAAATTGTTTTAGCAACCTGAATCATGAACGAACCGCCATGTTTATCATCGCCTTTTGGACTATTATGAACAAGGAATGACAAAATGACTCTCTAACAGATGAGAGGTTTGTGACTGTGGGCTATATTGCGTGTGTTTTTGAACTCAAATAAGTACTAAATGTATGATGCGTGTAGTTTTACTGTAATTAATAATATATCATAGACTGTAAGGGTCTATATGTGTTCAAAAATGTTCATTTATATATTTATTTAATATAATTGTAGATGTTACAGTTGCCTATTTCACACTGTCCTTAATCTGCTGTTATAATCAAATCCTGTTCATAGAAAGGTTAGTTATAAACATTTATAGACAAGTAGTTATGTGTATAAAGCATGTTTCGCGAGAAGTGCTTCTCATATTATATGTAAGCAACCCGTAAAGCTTGACTGTACACATTTATTCGAGCAAGCATGACGTCGACTGAAACTTTCTGTCATACACCACGCCCAACAAAAGGGTACCCTTGGTAGTGGAAACGCAAGCCTGATAAAGGTGACCAGTACTCACCCAAACCGTACCAGTCAGTGGAAACAAGCCATTTGACAGTGGAAATGGCCATAAAAAAATTACCAAACTATACCGTACCACTCAGTGGAAACGGGCCAGTAGACTCCTCAGAAAAACATAAAAACACTTTTTATATGATTTGCATCCTAATCTTTACTGTACTGATCTAGCTAGTAGATGGTTTACTGCTAGAAGATTGTGGTTTTATTTTTTTTAAGATTCTCCCCCCTACAAAATCATCCCAATCAATCTAAATGTATTAGTTCTTTTAAAATAAAGATATTCAAGTCATATGGTCAAATATATAGCTATATATTATAATAATAACAGAACAAAATATTGTGATATTTCCTATATCACATAGCCCTAGTAATAACACAGTAATGACCCCCAGTATGCAATACACTGCATCCATAACATCCTTAAGTGTTGTGAGTGTGCACAATACAATACATGTAAGGTAATAATAACATAAATCCTCCCCAATTTACAACATGCTGTTTAAACTCCTTAAAAACAACTTCAAATGAACTTTTGACATTGTTTTAAATGCCACCATGTCAGTGTGTTCTTTAATTTCACATTAGGTATATTTGGGTCCTTTATTGTGTCCTTATACACTTCATTGTACAGTACACCACATTTGTGAAACAAATGCTTGGACAATAGAAACATAGTCAGCCATAATCTTACCTGCAAATGTAACCTCTACTGCTTCAGGCTTGTTCCTGAATAAAAGGAAAGAGAGTTTTGTGAGTTAATATATGATCTGCTAAAATTAAACATAATGCAAAAAAAAAATGACAGAAGAATTAAAGTACAGTCTGACAACACAAGTTGAAAATGCATTTGCTTGCCACTTAAAAATACAGGACAGCGCTAAATAAAATTGAACATCATCAAAAAAAGTTGTCGGTAAATGAAAATCATTTAAGCAGAGAAGAATAAGGATATTTTGGTCAAAGTTTAGACACACAATATATCAGCAAGCATGTCAGTATCAGTAAATGATTTTGCATAGAGAAAGATTTGCATTTTACGTGTTTTTAAAATATATAAATAATATATTAGTTGTCTATTGTGTTTGTTAGCCTTTTGTTTTTGCAATTAGGCCAAGCAAATAGCATATTAAAATATTTATATTTATCAGCTTCCAAAATATGGTCTTTTAATGGTAATTATAAACCATTAAAAATCCTCAGTAATTTTTATTTTATTATATATATATATATATATATATATATATATATATATATATATATATATATATATATAAAATTTATTTATTTTATTTACTTAATAGTTTTTATTAATTTTTTCAATTTTTTTGTTATTATCATTCGTAATTTTTTTTTCTTTTTTTTTCTCTTTATATAATTTTAATTTGCGTCGAGGGTCGGGGTGGGAATAATATTTGTTTAAATTTCTCTGTAAAAATACTTTGTTATATCTGTAAAAGTTTAATAAACAAATGAAAAATAAAAAATCCTCATTAGGGCATCTCTAATTTAAATATTGATCCAAATGATAGTGTTCTTTCCCACAAATATATAAAAGGATGAGTTTACGGAAATAATAAGGAAAACAAGTAAGGGACAACGAACAGTCATCTAAGGTGACCACTGACCAAGAATGCAGAAGTGGTTTATTTTTGCAAGATTTGCTGTTAATTATTAGTCTAAGTACATAGTGAAGTACATAGCCAAATGAATGTGTATATCATTTATACAATACAAAACATGTATATTAAATTCAACGTTCATTAAGAGTTGCACTAGAGACCAATTGTCCATCCACATTTTCAGTAATGCTGATTTCAGAAGTAGGGCTGGGCCGATAAATAATAATATATCGAATCGTAATAACATTTATGTAAATAACAATGATAAGGTCTGGACTTTTTAACTGTATATTGGCCTAAGAGCCAATCACACAGCACAAATGTGCATCAATGAGAAGTGTGCGGATATTAGAGATGTACCGAATTTTATATTTTATATATATAAAATTTACATACATAATTTTATATATATATAAAGGTTATCTTTCAATACAGAAAATAATTATGGAGATTGCATTTCTGCCATATCGTCCAGCCCTATTCAGAAGTATTATTTATTTATTTTACATTCATTTTCTCTCATAGAGATACAGAGAATATTGGATTTGAAGTAAAAAAATACAAAAAATCATGAAGAGATTATTAACTAAAAGCCTGTGACCACCACTGTCACACACAGAAATCACCACACGATAAGTCACCACAAGTCTTAAAAAGACCTTTTTAAATGTGATATTCATAAATACGCAAAAAAAAAAAAATAGGTGGATGGAAACTAGAGTTGCACAATATTGGAAAAATTACACATTGTGTTTTTTTTTATTCGGCTATATATATATATATATATATATATATATATATATATATATATATATATATATATATATATATATATATATATATACTGCAATATGAATACAATTTCTCTAGATGAGTTGAACAAATGTTTGTAAAGAATCTATAATTTTAAATAGATTGAGAAGATTCTGTAGGGGAGTGCATAAAATATAATAAACAATCCACATGCATAGATAAATTCAATAAAGAAATATATGCTAATTAAATAAACAGAGTTTTAGTGTTTTCAGAAGAGTCAAAATGTATTCAGATATTCAGTAATTGCATAATCATGTGTACAATAAGACTGCATAGTCTTCGTTTTGTAAACAATTTCATAAAATTAATCACTATTCATTTTTCAAAGTTACAAACGGTACATTTTCAATTATAATCCAGACTCAACATAGTGACTATTGAGAATGATCACACTGCGATATCAATGCTGAAGAGATATATTGTGCAGCCCTAATGGAAATGCAGCTAATGTCTTGTGGAATGACAGAGAAAGAGAGGGAGAGAGACAACAAAACAAAAACAAAAGCCACATTGCACAAAATAAATCAACAACGTAGTAATCAGATGTAATATATCAGATACTGAAGATGTGATTTTCCCAGAGATGGGTTGCAGCTGGAAGGGCATCCGCTGCGTAAAACATGTGCTGGATAAGTTGGCGGTTCATTCTGCTGTGGCAACCCCGGATTAATAAAGGGACTAAGTCGAAAAGAAAATGAATGAATGAAGATGTAATCATAAAAAATAAGTCCTGAGACATAACTCTATGCTTAAAATGAATATAGCTTAAACTTCTGGAAACAAAGTGCCCCTTCTGCTTTATTTAAAGCAGTAGTGCCCAAGATTTTTGGTATAAAGGGCCAAAAACCAAATATCATTGAGAACCATGGGCTGAAGGTAAATGTACCAAACTATTTAATGTTAAAGTTGCCATTTATTGGTAAACATTACTTTATATCATATTAATGAATGTGTATAAAATTTTAAATGAAAACTTACCGCAGTAAAAATCACATTATAACAGTGGAGTTCAATGCTGAAAACACTAGTCAAGCAGAATCTGCCTTTGCATTGATTTGTCCTTTATCCGTCCGGTGACGGTATGTACATTTAAACTAAATCTGATTAATTTACACCATTTAATTAAAACATTTTGTCTCAGTTAGCTTTTAACAATAAAACAAACAATAAGAATAGCAATAAATCAAACAAACAAACAAACAAACAAACAAAAGTTTACATTAGATTTGAAATGACAATCTCTAAACCATCCCTATCATTCTTCCTCTTCTCAGATAGGATGTCAGCCCAAATCAAAAGTTAACATGGGCCAACTTTGGCCCACAGGCCCTAGTTTGGGCATCTCTAATTTAGAGCGACAGATCGCAGTGATTAACCAATCAGAATCAAGTATTCCAGTAATAATAATGTAAACAATGACAGAATAATAGAAGGTATTTGCACGAAACCCTCCTTTAAAAGCTATAACGAGCAATTTATTTATTTATTCATTAAAGCTAAATATCCACAAACTAAGCACACCGTAATGACTCAATAATGACTTCAAACCACACTGAACTGAGCTAAACTGAACTGAACTTAAACACTAAAAACTGAACTACCCTGATCCAGTTACTATGACCATTTATGTGAAGCTGCTTTGACACAACCTACATTGTAAAAGCGCTATACAAATAAAGCTGAATTGAAAACATTTAATTAAAAAATAAATCAGAATGTGTGTTTATTCACATGCGCGCGACCGTTCCAGCTCAAGCATGAGCACAATCCCACATTGAAGGGAAAAATGAAGGGCTAGAGGAGTATTCACGAGCAAATCGTGCACAGACGGGTCTGAAAAGAAGTGCTAATATGCTTGTTCCTGCAGCGACATGAATTCGGCTGAAATACACGAACAGGAAGTGCCTGAAATCTGCATTACGACTAAACATTTCCAGAAATCAGGTCGGCGGAGGCGAAGCGTGCAGTGGCCAAATTTACTCAACTGTTTAACGCAGTAACTTAACATGTCGATCTCGTTTCCACAAGTAAAGGTTTATATAAAGGTTGAAATAATCATTAAAGGTTTTCTATGTGATATATACTGCTGGACACACCCCATACAGGATGCTTCAATCCTCCAACGTGAAAAACAGCGAATTGCCATTCAGAACTGAATCAATAATGAGTGTGTTTTTGTGCTATTATATGGGTGTGAAATTAAATATGTCTCTTGTTAAAGTCTGCATGCATTATATGAGCGATGTGACTGAGACAGGAAGATCTTCCTCTTACCCGTTGCTCGCGCTGTCGAATTTGAGGCTGAGAGTCTCCTCTATGATCCGATTGTTGATTTCCAACAAAATCATGATGATTTATGTGAATGTTAAATGGCTATGTGCAATTAAAAATATAAGAGTTGATGCTGTTTTATTTCTACAACGCTGCTACAATCGTTTTGGTTTTCCTGCTCCTGGACTTCTGGCCGCTTCCGCATTGACTCGAAAGACCCGCGGGCTGCCCGCGTCACCGCCTGATCGTATGTGCTAATCATTTAAACAAAATGTTTTTGACCAAAATGAACTTTTAAGTAAAAAAAACATCTAGATTACATTCAGGATGTTTTTATTTACTTTGTTCATGAATCGTTTCCACACTTTATGACCAAATAAAATCCCATGACGTGTCAACTCCTCCTGTTATCGTGATTTGCTTACTAAATAAGGAGTTTTAAAATCACATTGCATTTGTATTATTTATTCCTTATTTCTTAAAGAAATTACCTAAAGAAACATAAAACAGCGTTTTTGTAAATTTCAATGCCTTTATTTGTCCTCTATAAAGCAAATATATTATTGTAGCCTTACAACATTAGGTAATAAATGATAGAGCATACTGTAGTATTAACTATCGTGAACTGATAAACTGCAATAAACCATGTAGTATATTTGGGTTTTTCGTTTCTACAGTAGACTATGTAGTTATAGTATTAGATCATTTGTTCATATTAGCTATTATAATTGTTGTATTCGCAAAGCTAGCTACCATAGAATCAAGCGATCAGTTGAAGTTAGTATGGTACAAAAACACCTACTAAGTTATTCAAGCCTGGTTATGGTCCAAAAGCACTTAGGCAAGTAGCCTACTCAAGCCTGGTTAATATAGTCCAAAAACACTTACTAAGTTATTCAAGCCTGGTTAATATGGTCCAAAAGCACTTAGGCTAGTAGCCTACTCAAGCCTGGTTAGTATGGTCCAAAAATACTGACTAAGTTACTCAACCCTGCTGAAAAATCCAGCTTAAACCAGCCTAGGCTGCTTGGCTGGTTTTAGCTGGTCGACCAGCCTGGTTTTAGAGGGGTTTTGGCCACTTCCAGGCTGGTCCAGCCATTTCCAGCCTGGTCTTAGCTGGTCAGGCTGGGAGTTGACCAGCTAAAACCAGCTTGACCAGCCTAGCCAAGCTCGGAGTCCAGCCAAAACCAGCTATATCCAGCTTAAACCAGGCTGGTCAGCTGGTTTTAGTTGGATTTTTTCAGGTCATTTTCCAGCCTGTATAGCTAAGACCAGGCTGCAAATGGGTGGAAACCAGCCTGGAAATGGCCAAAATCCCTCTAAAACCAGCCTGGTCGACCAACTAAAACCAGCAAACCAGCCTAGGCTGGTTTAAGCTGGATTTTTCAGCAGGGAAGTCTGGTTAATATGGTCCAAAACATTTACTAAGTTACTCAAGCCTGGTTAATATAGTCCAAAAACACTAAGTTACTCAAGCCTGGTTAATATGGTTCAAAAAACACTTATTAAGTTATTCAAGCCTGGTTAATATAGTCCAAGACACTTGCTAAGTTACTCAAACCTGGTTAGTATGGTCCAAAAACACTTAGGCTAGTACTCAAGCCTGGTTAATATGGTCCAAAAACACTTATTAAGTTACTTAAGCCTGTTTAGTATGGTCCAAAAACACTTATTAAGTTACTCAACCATGGTTAATATGGTCCAAAACACTTACCAAGTTACTCAACCCTGGCTAATATGGTCCAAAACACTTACAAAGTTACTCAAGCCAGGTTAATATGGTCCAAAACACATTACTAAGTTACTCAAACCTGATTAGTATGGTCAAAAAAAACTGACTAATTTACTCAAGCCTGGTTAATATGGTCCAAGCACACTTAAGTTACTCAAGCCTGGTTAGAATGGTCCAAAAAAAACTTACTAAGTTAATCAAGCCTGGTTAGTATGGTACAAAAACACATACTAAGTTAATCAAGCCTGGTTAGTATGGTCCAAAACACTTACTAAGTTACTCAAACCTGATTAGTAGGGTCCAAAAACACTGACTAATTTACTCAAGCCTGGTTAATATGGTCAAAGCACACTTAAGTTACTCAAGCCTGGTTAGAATGGTCCAAAAAAAACTTACTAAGTTAATCAAGCCTGGTTAGTATGGTCCAAAACACTTACTAAGTTGCTCAAACCTGATTCAATTCCCTCAAAAACAACATTTGAGATGTTCTTTCTCTAAGCATTAGATTAATCTTGTACTTTCCCTATTTTAACCTGTAACATTCTGATGTAATTCAACCACTTTATATCTCATCTTGCATTCCTTGCCTTGTTATTCTTCACAGAGAGACGTGTTACTACTTGTCCTGAACACAGCAGAAAAGGGTCTTTGTTGAAGGGGGCCAGATCAGATTCACACTGCTTTACATTCACAAAGGCATCTAATTTAATATCATATTTGATTGTGCTACATACATGCTTCAATTACATCTAAAACAAATTTGAATGCTATGTCAAGCTTGACTTTAAAAGGGGTCTATTATGCAAAAATCACTTTTATAGGGGATTTAAACACAGTTGTGGGGTAATAGTGTGTGAATATAACCAGTCTGTAGTGGTAAAAATGAATTAATTCAATTTATTATAATCTCACTTTATAAAAACAGTCGGCAGAAACAATTTGATTGACATTCTCCCTTTGTACACGTCATCAGTGAAGGGAAAGCCCTACCCATTAGTGACAATCTCTCACACACAGGGCCGGCGCGTCCATAGAGGCAACCTAGGCGGCCGCCTAGGGCGGCAGTATAGAGAGGGCGGCAGCCGCAACACCTCCCTTACCACCCGCGTCCTTAGTTATGTCCGCGACACCTCCCTCACCACCCGCATCCTCAGATATATTTGCGCATAGACGACAGAATAGAGAGGGCGGCGTCAGCGACACCTCCATCAGCACCCGCGTGTCCTCAGTTATATCCGCGCATAGGGCGGCAGAATTGAGGTCCTTGACACCTGCGTGTCCTCAGTTATATCCGCGCATAGGGCGGCAGAATAGAGAGTGCAGTGTCTGCGACAACCCCTCCCTCCCTCAGCACCCGCGCGTCCTCAGTTATATCCGCGCATAGTGCGCTGGAATAGAGTCCGCGACACCTCACTTCATTTTCATAACCGGTCACTTTCGTTTTCACGTTAGGGTTGAGAGCGACATGATCGCCCTCTGCCTAGAGCGGCAGTTCAGCTTGCTCCGGGCCTGCTCAAACATTAGCATAGAACATTAGTCTTGTCTTAAAATCTGCCACTATGCTGACACATAGGCATTTGTAGCCCCACCCTAATATTTTAAGAGCGGTGCTGACATAGAATTGGTTAAAATGGCAGTTTGCTGTTAAAGAGACCAAAACAAAGACAGACACAGAAGGAACTTTTCTTACTAACTGTAGTTTTTCAGATTAACAAATATGTTCACTTTGCATGTTTCTGAAATATCTTTAAACATAATTCAGTATTTTATGCTTGATAAGAGTCAAAATGTACCTTTAAACTGATGCAGATGTTTCGTTTGCTTTTGACAGAGTAACTGAGGCACAAGCTTTAAAGGCTCCGCCCTGTTCTTGAAAGGTGGTGGGGAGAGACACCCCTCGCTGTGGCCTGTAGCGCAGTGACGAAACGGATGTAACGTATGTGTTAGCGTGCATGTGTTACGATAACCAGCGATCGTTCTCTGGAGATCGCTGGTTTCCACTTTACTTGAACTACACTTACGCATATCCCAGGACTACATTTTCATACGTGCACTTCTTCTAAACACGCACGCCTGGTCATTCATCTATCCTGATTGCAATCACCAGCTGAACCTTGTCACAGACTGATATCACACCATACTTAAGCCACACATTCACGCTTCCAGTGGGCCGAGTCTTGTTATCTTTCACAGTAGCATTACAACGCGTTTCCCAGTTTTGTTATCCCGTGTACCGACCGTTAGCCTTGTTAGCCTCGTTGTCTTTGCCTGCCGCCTGCCTTTCTGACTTCTTGCCGTATTCGACTGTGATTCTGGATTGTCCTCTTACCCCTGTTTGCACCTGTGTTGACCACTGCTTGCCTGACCACCGATTAAACCTGCATTTGGATCTTACTTCAGTTGTTTGTGTCACTTCAATTCACAACAGCATGTGGCCATAGATTGATTTTTTTTATCTAGGTTAATCTCACGGTCAACTTGGAATTAATCTAGATTAAAATGGCTATTTAAAAATAAAGTTAATAAAATATTGACCTGTTTGTTTTTATGTGGTTAATGATTTTAAAAGAAAACAAAAATATACATTAAAAGATAACCTATTTATTAAATCAAATAACCAATTATTTAAGTAAAAATAACCAATTATTGGGTAGAAAAAACAAACCAATTGTGGGGTTAAAAATAATAACCCATAATAATTTAACCCCTGATGTGTTCTGTCCCATATTTACCCAGCAGTAGGGTTAAAAACAACCCAATTTGGGTAGATTTTAACCCTGTGTTTTTTAGAGTGTAGGTGGCCATAGATTTTCTAGATTAATATCACTGTCAGTGTCATCTTGGAATTAATCTAGATTGAAATGGTTCATTTGAATTCTGCCGAATATGTGTGCAACCCAAATAAAGACTAAAAGTAAGTCTTTGAGAATGGGTTTCTCAAGCCAGGAGGCGCATTAGACCAGGGGCTCATCTCCTGTTTCCAAAATGCTTCACAAACTGCTTGAGAAACTGTTCTACTATGATAATTGGTGATGAAAATAAATGATGTTCAATAAGAGATACTTGTGTTTACTGTTTATTCAGTTAAACATGAATTTTGAACTGAAGGCCTACATAAGCTCCAAACAGCGATTTGTGATCATCTTAATCCCACTAAAGTCATAACTGAACTAAATAAAAATTAAATTAATTTCCAACAAGATCCACACACGCGGCTGTCAGCAAAGGACCGCGCACACACACACACACAGAAACACACACACACACACACACACACACACACACACACAAACACACACATTGCAAAAGGTGGAAGTTTTTTTCTTTCCATTTGGAGTGTGTCGTTAAATTCCATAACACTCTCACCAATCCTTATTGCTTATTTGTGTCTAATACCCCAGTTTGTCACGGGGGCATGAATGAAATGTTCATGAGTGAATGTGAAACTGCCGAACTGCAGTTAAAGTCACCCAAAATTACAGGAAACTCTTACATGAAAGCACTTCACGTAAACACCTTATTATATTATTGTCTATTAAGGCAAATAACTACAGATGTTCATGTAAGTCAGTAGTGTCTTCGAAGTAAGTGAAAGATCCAGAAGATCCTGCTGATTTGATTCAGAAGGGCACTTTTTTGTCAGACGGCTCACCAGTCAGGTATACATCCGCGCTAAAATATCAAGGTGAAAGTCATCATAGCTTCACAGACCCAGCTAACGACCCAACTTTAAGAATAGATAAACAGCGATATTTTTTTTGATCACCTGATAAGAGTCTCATGTTAACGCTGCACGTGCACTCAGATAACGGCCCACCACTAATATATATATATATATATATATATATATATATATATATATATATATATATATATATATATATATACACATACATACACACACACACACACACATATATAAATATATATATATATATATATATATATATGTGTGTGTGTGTGTGTGTGGGTGTGTGTGTGTGTGTATACATATATATACATGTATATTCGAGTCCTAATCAGGGGGTAATCTAGATTGGATCTGGACATGCCTATATACATAACATCGCTGCTCAACAAAAACTATTTGGGTGGGAGGGAGCAGCTCATTTACATTTAAAGAGACACACAAAATAACCAAAACTCCACCCAAAAATGGGCATCTAACATGGTACACAAACAATCCATGGTGTATTTTTAGCAGAAATTTTACAGACACATTCTGAAGACTAAACCTTGAATAGAGGGAATATTTATTAAAAGTGTATGTAGTTTAAATTATATATATATATATATATATATATATTTATAATTAAGATCTTAACACCTCTCAAATGATTTGTAAATCTTCAAATGTATTGTATTTTCTTTTAATAAATGGAAGTAAACAGCTCATGAACTGAAAGATGTTGCTCATGTGAGAAGCACGTTTGTTTCTTTCTTTCAGCATCTTCAGGACAAACGCAGTGGAAGGAGTTGCTTAATTTCCTTAATAATTGTTGACAAGTGATGCTTTCTGGCCTTGCTTCTGTTCACATGTGACGCAGCTTTCCTCAGTGTTGAGAAATCACTTCCAGATTACGTGTCTGGATTTTCTTACGTGAAGTTTGTAGATCTTTTTCCACTTTCTCACAATCACTGTCAAATAACATCCAAGACATTTGTTTAAAACTTAAAAACATGGTATAGTTGTTTCTGGTATTAAGAAAATGTTGTAGTTTATATTCCAAGTTTAGGTTAGTTTTTATTTTTTATATTTTAAATTTGTATTGTTTTTAACCATTGGAAGTTGTATTCATTTAGTCTTTTTGTCAATTGTTTAGTTTGTTCGGTCTGATTAATTTGTTAATTTTATGTTACATTTTCAATTATTTTAGCTAGAAATTTGTGGTTTTGTCAATTTATACAAGTATTAATTTTATATCTTATTTGTTTGATTTTGTCATTCTTTGTCACTTTCTTATTACATTTTAATAGATGGTTAATTTGCTTTAAGTCGATGTTAATTTTTATTTTAAAGCATGTTTAGTTCGTAAATTTTTTTTTATATTAAACATGTTCAATGTTTTTTACTACTTAAAATTGTAATTTACTAGTTTTTTTGTCAATTTACTAGTTTTTAAGTTTGTTTAATTGTAATATTTTTTATACTTTACATTGTCATTGTTATTTACTGTTTGAATTTGTAGTAATTTATCGTTTTTGTCAATATATTATTTTATATTTAACATTTCAATGATTTTAGCTTGTAAAGTTGTAGTACATTTTTGGCAATTTATTCGATTTTTTAAATCTCTTAGTTTATATTATTTTATATATTATTTATGTCTGTTTAGTGTATATAATTTTATGTATTTTATTTTATTATAATATTATATAATTTACATTTTCAAAGTTTTTAACTAGTTTAAGTTGAAGCAATAGTGTTGTTTTTGTCATTTTGCTAGATTTAATTATTATTTTGCATTGTCATCTTTTTTAATATTTGTCAATTTGTTGTTTTTTTTCCCTCTATTTTACTAATCCATTTAATCAAATAAGTTTTAAGAATATTTCATTTAAAAATTTTTATTTCAAGCAAAAAAAAAGTTTTAGTTTTTATTTATTTATAATAACCTACAAAACAAACATTCATTTTATTTTCGGCTTAGTCCCTTTTTTAATCTAGGGTTGCCACAGCGGAATGAACTGCTTATCCAGCACGTTTTTATGCAGCGAATGCCCTTCCAGCCAAAACCCATCCGAGGGAAACATCCACACACACTCATTCACTCTCATACACTATGCCCAATTTAGCCTATCGCATTTCTTTGGACTGTCTAGGAAACCAGAGCACCCGGAGGAAACCCACGCAAACGCAGGAAGAACATGCAAACTCCACACAGAAACGAACCAGCGACCTTCTTCTGCGCCACCACAAAACAAACAATAATTTTAATACACTCATTTTCTAATTTGTAGGATTTCTTCATTCTGCCTCACTCTCTTATTAAATTTTAATGGATAGTTAATTTGCTTTAAGTCAATGTTAAGTTTTATTTTTAAAGCCTGTTTAGTTCATAATATTTTAATATTTAACATTTTTTAATGTTTTTATCTAGTTAAAGCTGTAGTAATTTTGTCAGATTTTGTCAATTTATTATTTTTAAAGTCAGTTTAATTATAATATTTAAAACTTTTACATTGTCAGTGTTTTAACTACTTAATTAGTAGTAATTGTCAGTTTTGTCAATTTATATATTACATTTTTATTGCTGTTAACTAGCAAACTAAAGTCGATCTTCATTTTTTGTTAATTCAAGATTTGAACAACTACTTTAAACTCCCAAATCATTGATAAACAGTCTCATGATGGCTTCAGAAGATGATGAACATATTAGGATGATTTTAGTCCACATGACGCCTGCTTTCGCTTTTGATGTTTTGATCATGTTTATGCTTCAGACTGAACATGAGTGAGGATCTTGTGACTTAATCATGTTTGAAATTTCCCAGAGCAATCATCTGCCATCTTCTGCTTTCTTGTAGCCGCACATAAAAGCAACATCAGGCAAGATCCTCTTCTTCAGCATCCCAAAACAACAACAGGACTATCAGCGAGTCTCCAGTGAAAAAGAAAACAAATGCTACCCACGACTATTCCAGATACATCCTAAGTACTGTTTGGTGGATTTTGGGGGAGGCAAATAAAGAAATCAAAGCATTTTAGTTGAGATGATGGACTTTAGGTAACCTTCAGGACTTGAGCAAACAGGATATATCAACATCTCTCCGAAGGATATAAAGAAGCCTTACATACTGAAGTCTTGCATGATCTGGGGATTTTTACATTATACCTGAGAAGCAAAAGAGAAAAGAGAGAGAGAAGTGGTCATGATGACTGGTAAGTTTAGTATCCTGACATATCCTAATAATATCTAATAAAATGTGCATTCTCTAATCAATTCTGGGTTGTTTTAATCCAGCGTTAGGTCAAATTTGGATGAACTATTTTAGCTGTTAGGTTATTTTGATTTTATTTTTATTAAAATTAAATTACAATTAAATGAAAACAGTAAATTAATTATAAATTAGAAAAAAGTCAATTTAAAAATTAATGTCCATATTGTCCATATTCGACTTAAAATTGTATTAGAATAACCCAGAAATTTTATGTGTAAAGCAGGTTTATTATTTTCTAAACTTACTGATATCACAAAATTATGTTCAGATTTATAAAATATTAAATTTAAGACAAATATTATCCCATAAAATTTGTATTTTTTATTTTTATTTTCTATAGATCAATAAATGATTCAAAGAGAAAAATTAATTTCATAATCCTCAATTTAATATGGACAGATCCTTTTCTTACTCTTGGGTTAAAAATATTAAATAAATAAATGTAAAAATAATAAATGAATTAATTAATTTTTATGAAAATAGTAAATTAGTGAAAAGTCAATTAAATTGTATTTTGAAAAAAAAAAAGACTTTATCCAATTGTTGGTTTTGTCCACATTTGACTCCACATTGTGATTAAATAACCCAGCATTTTTATTTATTTATTTTTGTGTGTGTGTGTAAAACTGGTTTCTGTTTTTTAACTCATTGGCATCAAGAAGTTCTAAACTTATAAAAGTATAAATATAAGACAATGTCCCAAAATTTGTATTGTTTTTTTGGGTCATTTCATTTATGAAAGGTCATTTCATATAATCTTCAATTAAATATAGACAAACCATTTTTTAACTGCTGAGTCAAATATATTTAATTTAATAAAAATTCAATTACAATTTTATGAAAATGGTGGATTGGTAATATGTTTTTTTTTTAAGTCAACTATTTTAGGTTAAAAAAAATCTATATTTACCAAGATATATGCATATTTGACTCAACATTGTGTTAAAACAACCCAACAACTTTTGAGTTTAAAACAGGTTTATTTTTCTAAACTTATTGAAATCAGAAATGTATGTTAAAATTTATATATATATATATATATATATATATATATATATATATATATATATATATTCTTTATTTATTAATTTTATTCCCTTTATATTAATAAAGGGCTAACTTAATTTAATATAATCCTCAAATAATATGAGTATTTTTTACGATACAGTCTGAAAACATCTTAAAACTAAAATTATTTTTATATGGAAGTAAATATTTATAATGTATATATATATATATATATATATATATATATATATATATATATATATATATATATATATATATATATATATATAATGTAAATTAAATAAAAATAGTAAACTAGTAAAAAATCTATACATTTTGTGTAAAATATAAACCCAATTGTTAGGTTTATCCATATTTCACTTAATATTGTGTTAAAACAACCCAACATTCTTTAGTATAAAACATGTTTTTTGTTTATTTGTTTTTTAAACTCAATGACATCAAGATTTTATGTTAAAACTTTAAAACCATTACCCAAAATTTGTATTCTTTTTTTGTTTTTGTTTTATAGATTAATTTTGTGTCCTATAAATTAATTAATGACTCAAAGTGCAAAATTAATTAAATAATTCTCAATTAATATAGGGTTTTTTTTTTTTTGCTAAATATATTCTGAAAATAATCATATTTTATAATATATTGGCTGGGCTTTTTTCTTTTCTCAGATACATAAAATAATATAAAAAAAGACTTATTGTTAATTAAATTAATAATAATAATAATAATAATAATAATAATAATAATAATAATAATAATAATAATAATAATAATAATAATAAATGCCTTGATAGATTCATTTTATTATCTGTAATTCAAACATTTTCATGTAAATACAATACACATGCAATGGGCTTAAAATGCTACTTTTCAACCTGCTTAATAATCCTAGTTTTAATTTGCAAATATAAATTTCAATCCTAATGGTAATTATCAATAAAAAAAGTGGTATTGTTTGATAGAAGAAGAAAAATGACTTTTTGTAGCACTTAATGTTTTTATTATAATATTACACAATTATCACTTGTATCTCATTCTTTAAATATCATTTAATATCTTATCTCAAATTTATCTTTGCCATGATGACAGTACATAATATTTAACTAGATATTTTTCAAGAGACTAGTATTCAGCTTAAAGTAACATATAAAGGCTTAACTAGGTTAACTAGGCAAATTATTGTATAACGATGGTTTGCTCTGTAGACAATCTGACAAAACATATTGCTTGAGCGAGCTAATCATTTTGACCTTAAAATAATTTTAAAAATTTAAAAACTGCTTTTATTCTAGCCAAAATAAAACAAGTACGACTTTCTCCAGAAGAAAAAATATTGTAGGAAATACTGTGAAAAAATGAATTGCTCTGTTAAACATCATTTGGGAAATATTTAAAAAATCGAAATAATTTTGACTTCAACTGTATATCCTCTTGCTAACATTGCACATAACTGTTTCACCACAGCTTTTGTTTATCATTTTCATAACTCCCCTAACAGATCCAAACAGCTCTAATCACCTGGTAGACTTCCACGAGTTCTACTACGAAGAATTCAACGATACAGATTTCAGCAACTTCACGTTTGTTCCCGACGAGAAGACAATCCCCTGTTCCTCCATCACAATGGCATCCGCTGTCAACATTTCATTCAGCGTCTTCTACGTTTTCATCTTCCTGTTGGCTATCCCCGGGAATGTGATTGTCGGCTGGGTCATCGGCTCCAACCGGCGCTTGCTGTCGGCATCAGATGTCTACTTATTCAACCTGATGCTAGCCGATACACTACTAGCGCTAATTCTGCCCTTTTCTGCAGTCAACGTCATCCACGGTTGGGTCTTCGGCAATGTCGCGTGCAAGCTAGTTTCATTAGTAAAGGAAGTCAACTTTTACACTAGCATTTTATTTTTAGTGTGCATCAGCGTGGATCGCTATATGGTGATCGTACGCGCTATGGAGTCCCAGAAGGCCCAAAGAAGACTCTGCAGTGGAGTCGCGTGCGGATTAGTTTGGGTTTTGGGTTTAGTGCTCTCACTGCCGTCATTCTACAACGAGGCGTTTTTCGATAAACGAATGTTCAATCAGACTATTTGCGCTGAACGATTTGAGACTGATCACGCAGACGAATGGCGATTAGCAACCCGAATAATGAGGCACGTGCTAGGTTTTGCGCTCCCCCTAGTGGTCATGTTGAGCTGCTACAGCGTGACGGTTGTACGGCTTTTACGTACTCGCTGTTTCCAAAAACAGAGAGCTATGAAGGTGATCGTAGCCGTGGTTGTGGCCTTTTTAGTCTGCTGGACTCCTTTCCACGTTTCCACCATAATTGACACCATCCTGAGGGCCAAAGTGGTTCAGTTCGGCTGCACTATGAGGACATCGGTGGAAGTCGCCATGTTTGCAACTCAAAATCTCGGGCTTCTGCACTGCTGCGTGAACCCGGTGCTGTACGCATTCGTCGGAGAGAAGTTCAGACGGAGGTTTCTGCAGTTGCTCCACAGGAAGGGAGTTCTGGAGCGGTTCTCGCTTTCTAAATCCAGCAAGTCATCTTCTCTGACCTCAGAGGTCCCTTCGAGCTTTCTGTGAACTGCAGCCATATCAAAGTCCCTTTCAAAGAAAGTCTGTTTAATCCATGTTTGCAATGCATTCAAGCATTTCATCCAAGTCCTATTTAAATAAATAAGGGAATCCTGAAATCTTGAAAACTGCTTGCCATTAAATTTCCTATTTGAAATCAACAACTAAATCTAAAGAGACAACACAATCTCACGGCAATTCGTAACTTTTTCATTTAGTGGCTAATTCGTATGAATTCGTACGATCTAATTCATACAATTTAGTACGATTTGCTTTTCCCCCAATGACGGTTGGGGTTAAGGGTGGGGTTAGGTGCCACGCCTCCTTTTTAAAATCGTATCATTTCATACGACTGAAATCGTACGAATTCGTACGAATTAGCCACTAAACTGGCAAAACGTAAAATACTTACGTTTTCTCGTGAGATCAGGCTGAAAGAGACCTGTCCCATTATTGTTGTTGCTTAAACTCTAATTATGTTACCATGTTAAGGCCCTTTTCACATTTCTGGCTGAAGTTATGATAGTTGGGGAAACTTAGAACTCAGTTGGTTACAAACACTGGAAGAAAAACAGAGATAAAACACAGCTAATACTCTAAACTGACTTTGGAAAGTGAGGAAATGTGCTGTGATGTGATTTTAAGACATTAAACCAACAAAGTCAAACCAACACAGGCACCCAGTAGTTGCCAATTGACTATAATGACCAAGTGAATCCGTACAGAACCCTCCTTCAAAGAACTCCCAGGCTATAAAGATTGACGATGGGCTATTTCGACTGCAAGGTTGGACTTTCTTTACTGTGGTGGCCATATTGAGCACTTTTCCCCATTCATAGAAATGCAAGTAAATAGTCTTTGTATATATATATATTTAATATATATATATATATATATATATATATATATATATAGTCTTTGTTAATATGAGCTTAACTGTATGTAAATAGAGTGCATAAGTCACTGCCCACTTTTTTGGCAGTGCAAGTATTGTTTTTAAGTGTTTGTTTTAGGGTTATAAATCAGAAACCAAACCAACATGCTGGGAGGAGAACTGCAATAGTACAAACTTGATTAGAATACTTGGAAAGTGTTATATAAAACTCTGGAGAAAAAAAGATAAAGGTACATTACCATTGAGGGTAGGAACTACAATCCCATGATGCATTGAAAATGACATAACTGGATTAAAAGGATAGGTCACCCACAAATTGAAATTGACTAACCGTTAACTCACCATCATATGATTCTAAACCTCTTGCCTTTTTTCTGTTTCTTTTTCTCTGGAACCAAAAAAAAAAAAAGAGATATTCTGAAGAATGTTGAAAACCTGTAGCCATTGATATCTATAGTAGGAAAATAGTAGGAGATATTACACCATGGAAGTCAATGGCTACCAGTTTGTGACATTCTTCAAGAGTATACACTTAGTTGGTGGTTGATTATAAGCTTGTTTGGCATGAGAGAGAGCCCTGAGCTTATAAGATTCTTGAGCTCGGGGCTCCCTCTCGTTGAGAGGGGAGTTTGAGCTCAGGTAGATCTCGAGAACTCCCCGTCTGTAGTAGCTTATGAACAGTTAGTGATTGCTCTTAAGAGATAACTACCTACTAGGAGCATGTCTATCGTGCTGATCTGGATTAGTCAATTAACTTAAGTTGCATGTTTTTGGACCGTGGGAGGAAATCGGTGAACTCGGGGTAAACTTACGTGAGCACGGGTAGAATGTGTAAACTCTGCACAGACACGTTGGCTGGCTTGGTAAGGACTAGAACTAGTGACGTTCTTGCTGCGAGGCAACAGAGCTAACCACTGGGCCATAGTGCCACCCAACTAGGAAAGGAGGAGGAGTAGGGGTGGAGGGGGGATTTTTCAAAATGAAGATGGCTATTATATGGAACTGGGGGTTTTTATAGTGACTTAGGAATCATCTGATTGGTGAATCATGAATCGGCTAATGCATGACCAGCTGTGTTCAATCATAAGCATGTGATCCTCTCGAAATTAGTTTATGAATAGATCACTTCATGTTCAACAGAAGAAAGCAATTAAAACAAGTTTATAACTATTTCAGTGACCGTGACATTATATTCTATCCCTTGTCATTGAAAGTTGTTGCTTGTTTTTATAGAAACATAATATTTCAAGTTTATGAATATGAAATGTGAATATATATATATATATATATATTTTTTTTTTTTTTCAACACATTTAGACATAATAGTTTTAATAACTGATTACTTTTATTTTTGCCATGATGACAGTAAATAATATTTGACTAGATATTTTTCAAGACACTTTTATACAGCTTAAAGTGACATTTAAAGGCTTAACTATAGGTTAACTAGGCAGGTTAGGGTAATTAGGCAAGTTATTGCATAATGACGGTTTTTTTCTGTTGACTATCAAAAATATGTAGCTTAAAGGGGCTAATAATTTTGACCTTATAATGTTTTCAAAAAAATTAAAAACCACTTTTATTCTGGTTGAAATAAAACAAATAAGATATTCTCCAGAAGAAAAAATATTATCAGACATACTGTGAAAACTTCCCTGCTCTGTTAAACATCATTTGGGAAATATTTAGGGGGAATTTATATATATATATATATATATATATATATATATATATATATATATATATATATATATATATATATATGTATTGATATGAATATTTATGGATTTTGAGAGTGATTTGATATTTGACATTTTAACATTTACGGTGCTTTGTGGGAGTGGGTGGAGTTAAAATCTCTTGCTACGCTTAAAAATATTGCGACTCACTGATTGGTTAAATATTCCATAAAGCAATATGAATTGTGTAGTTTATCTGTATGAATTTTGTTTTTATAAACAACTATAAAAAAAGGTGATAAATACAAGCAGATGCATTCTGCAAAAGCATATCCTGTACAATTATTTATTCATTCACTCATTTTCTTTTCAGTTGAGTCTCTTTATTAATCTGTTCACAGCGGAATGAACCGCCAACTTATCCAGCATATGTTTTATGCAGCAGATGCCCTTCCAGCTGCAACTCATTGCTGGGAAACACCCATACACTCTTATTCACACACATACACTACAGACAATTTAGCTTACCCAATTCACCTATAGCTCATGTCTTTGGACTTGTGGGGAAAACCAGAGCACCCGCCTATACAATCATTTAACAACCTCAAAACTCAAACATGTTTGTCTTTAAAGATTTATCAGTCAAAATAAGCCTGAAACCATCTGGCGCACACAGCACATACTTTGGTTAAAGACTGCAGTCTAATATTCATGATGCATTGGCTCCCTCTGTTGGTCAGAAAGATCAAAATTCATCATTGGTAAGAAGTTAATGAATGCGACATACAGTTGGTCAGAATTATTAGCCTTCCAATTTCTAATCATAATAGTTTTAATAACTAATTTCTAATAACTTAATTATTTGATCTTTGTCATGATGACAGTAAATAATATTTGACTAGATATTTTTCAAGACACTTCTATACAGCTTAAAGTGACATTTAAAGACTTAACTGGGGTAATGAGGTTAACTAGGCAGGTTTGGGTAATTAGGCAAGTTATTGTATAATGATGCTTTGTTCTGTAGACTATCGTTTAAAGGGGCTAAAAATTTTGATCTTAAAATGATTTTTAAAACATTAAAAACTGCTTTTATTCTAGACGAAATTAAACAAAGACTTTATCTAAAAGAGAAAATATTATCAGACATACTGTGAAAATTTCCTGCTCTGTTAAACATCATTTGGGAAATATTTAAAAAAGAGAAACAAATTTAAAGGGGGGCTAATAATTCTGACTTCACTTGTAATGTATTTTTGTTGGCCAGCTGGGACGTTTGCATCACTCTGCTTCCCTTGAGAGAAAACTTCACAGTTTTTAAATTACTTTTATAAGCTTTAAATAAATTTAAACACTTTAAATAAATAGCTTCCTCACATTATTAAATTTACCAATCATTTATTCACCCTCAAGTATTTTGTTTTAGGGTTTTTTTTTTCCTGATTTTTGTGAAGAATGTAGGTAATAAGTAACCACTGACTCATGTTTAATGTTCAACAGAAGAAAGAATCTCTGAAAGTGTGGTTTGTAACAATTGGATTGGATTTTGCTCACTGAGACAGACTTCAAATCTTTTATGAATTCTGATCCCTAAATAAAATAGCCAAGGGTCACACTGTATTTTGATGGTCCGTTTATGACATTGCATCTACATGTCAACTAATTTTTATTAGATTATATAGGTTGTTAGGTTGGGGTTGGGGTTGGGGTTAGTGTAAGTTGACATGTACTTGCAAAGTTCTTACAGTCAGTTAAATGTCTGTTAAGAAGGCAGTATCAACAAATATTAAGCAGACAGTCTATTAATACTCAAATGGACCATCAAAATAAAATCATATTTATTTAAGAAGTAAATAGTCTAGTAAGTATATGAGTTTATCTATTTAATGTGCGGATGGTAAATATCCCTGACAATATCTGTATAGTTACATTTTACTAGAAACTGCCATTTCCAAAGAAATTGCTCAATATCTTGTGTTCAGCTTGTTTCAGACATAACCGAAGACCATTAAAAACTCTTCTACTAAAGAGTTAGTTCACATAAAAATTATTAATTACTTACCCTCATGTCGCTCCAAACCCATGAGAGAGACCTTTGCTCGTCTTCTGGAATACAAAATAAGATATTTTCAATGAAGTCTGAGAGCTCTTGTACTTGGTCAATCAAATGTTTAAAAAAATATAAGTAAACATAAAGTAGTGACTGCAGGTTGAAGGAAAAGCAAATATCATATGAAGCAAAGCTCAGACAGAATTCATCTGTTTTGGTGTTGGTCAAAGATGTGACAAAATCTATAATTCGATCAAATAAATTCCTATCGAAAATGATGGACATTTGTACATGTGACTGCACTTTAATTATTGACCATTGAAAATTGTTGTGTATAACTAATATAGATTTAAACTCACTACTGCTGAGAAGAGAAGTGACACTTTGCAAGCACAAGTAAAGGATCTGTATACACTCTGTGAGGGTTGTAATACTCTGTTATGCTGGGTTGTAAAACTAAAAATCCATGGGTCAAATATGGACAAACCCAACATTGCAACATCAAATCATTTCACATCAAATTTAAATCCCATTTTTTTAATCCAGCTGCTAATTTTGTCCATATTTGACCCAAAATTATTTGAGTGTAG